TCCTACTTAGTTTTTTTCATGTAAGATGGGAAGAAGTCAAGCACTTAGATTTCTTCAAACTATTCTGCAGCTTCTCTGGGTAACCAGCATTGTATGTTATTCTCAACTGAAATGCTAAATAAAAGCATAGATTTGGCTGCTTATTCTGTGCCTTTCACATCAAACTCATCACTGCTACTTTTAAGTACCTTCTGCTTGTGTGCTGAGTGCTGACAGTGACTTGCTGGGATGTCTCAACCTTTCTGTAGTAAGTACTGACTGCAATGGAGTGTTCTGTATTGGACACTTTCTGGAACTCACACTGGATTGTGTACACAAATGCACACACATACTTCCCCTCCATTCTGTTGGGTTTTGTTAAGGAAAGCAAGTTCAAAGAATGGCTTGTGCATTTCTGCATTTAAGAATTTGTGAGTGTCATTGTATGAGTTTACTCAACAAGTTCTTTGGGGAGCAGTCAGTGATTGTCCCTTATACATCAGAGCTGTCACATATATGATTGCTGAGCGGGTACTGGAAAAAGATCATTGATTTTTGTGAATTGAAAAAAGAACAGAGAGAGCAGAGGAAAGCAATAATATAGTCTAAGGCATTTGGGAATGATGGGGGATTGAAACTGATTTCTTCAATCATGACTTTCTGTAAATGTTCCAACTTTTTGCTCTTAAAGGCAAGAGTTTCAAAGATTTCAAGATTTTTTCCAGTTCTTAACAGTCTTCCTTAACTTCACTAAGATATGCTTCTGTCATCCACTAGTCTCAACGTGAGACATGCCAGCACTGGGTATAAAAATTAAGGTTACAGAAAAGGAGAAAGAAAATAAAGTTTCAGTTGTACTGACAGGAACTGAATGGAGGAAAGGGAGCTCCTACCTGAGAGAGAGATTGCTTTACTTAAAATCATAGAATTATTATGGTTGGAAAAGACCTCTAAAGTCAGCAAATCCAGCTGTCCAGCCCTACTTGCTATCTGTAGGCTGCAAAGATTTTGTATGAAGGGAACAGAACTAGTTGTGAGCACACTTCTTTGACCAAAAAAACTATTTATGTGAAATACTGTCTTCTGTTTTTAACCTAAGTGAGACACATTTAGATCTCTGAAGGCACTGCTACAAAAGTGTTAAAACTTTACACTGCAAGAACTAAAAGGTTTGAGGACCTATGCATTTTTTCTGGTCTGAACCAGCACCTTGCCAGATTTTTTGACTACTTTCAGTCAGAGAATCACAACAGAGAAGGCTACAGGAACCTGCTATGTGCAGTTTTAAGGTGCAAAACTTGTTAGTCTGTGAACACCTAATAGGGGAAGAAGCTTGGAAAATTAATGTGAGGCAGTGATATATCCACTTGTTTGTCACATCATTGCTATAAAATACAGCAGCATCCAGGAGAGGTCAATAGCAGTCTCCTGAAGCTGTGTGTTTAAATTGGTCCAGCTGGCTCTTTAGAGTCAAAATCTATTTTTACATCCTTCCTCTGTGTGGAGCTCTTTTAAGCTGCTCAAAAAAATGTTTTGTACCTTATGTTGCCATGACTTGGAAAAAAATGAAAGAGCACCCCATACCTTGCAGTTAGAGAGGTGAGAAATCTGCAGAGCACAGGTAATAGCAACAGTGCTCAGTGCTCCTACAGGAGCAAGCTCAGTAGCAGTACTTCCCAGTTTTAAAGGAAGGCTTCTAAAGGGAAAAAAAAAAAGCATCATGGACTAAAAAAGTTTTGTTTCCTGTGGATTTAGTGTCGTTATTGATTGCAAGCTATGACTGAAGCTTTTCTACCTTTCTAGGAAGGTACTGCTTCACATGTAGATCCTCTGCTTCCTAATACAAGCAGCTTGCTTTTTGGTTTCCCCACTGTAGGAATCCTAATGGTTTTTGTCCTCCACCACCCACCAGCTTTTGACCTGGATTTCACATACCATAAGGACCAGTAAAGATTAATAGAAATATACATTTTTGGGGACATAAAGAAACACATGTAATGTGATGTCTTTATCAGGTTAAAAATACATTTTTCAATTTTCAAGATGATTTGTGATTATCTTTTGAGGCAAATGGGGTTGGTAGCACTGCTTATTTTATCCAAAAATCTTCTAAATACTATATTGTATATGATTTATACTATACTAAATATAGTATATTTACAGATAGCAAAAGTATATCCGGAATAAAACCCCTTGTTGCCAGTGATTTAAGCAGTCAAATAAAAAAGGTGTGCTGCTATCTAGCTGAAGAAATGTATTAGCATGCAGAAAGCAATGCTGCTTCCTCTGGGAGGTTTTAATCAGGCCTCTTGTAGTGATTGAGATGCAATACTCTAAAATGAGAAAAATTATTAACAAAATCAAAAATCTAGAGTGTCTTTCACACAAATATTCATCAGTGTATCTTATGTAATTACATAGTCGATAAATCAACATACTGTGTAAGTGCTTCAGTCATGGTGTAAATATCTTAATGACTGAAAATCTTCACACATGAATAATTTATACCTGTATGATTCATTTTTCATATCCATGCTTTACTTCAACATGAAAAGCTAATTCTTCTCTGTCAGAGTTTGTACTTGATTATTGCCTTCTGGTTTCTCTTCTTTGTGCTTCCTTTCCACCATTAGACACACTCCATTTCTTCTCTTCTGGTTCCTCTAATGTAGTTATCTTATTTATTCATTCTGTCTGCCTTGGTTTGCATTCCCAGCGCATTTCAACAGGCACCTGGGAAATAACACTCAGGCATAAGCTGCTTGTGCTTATGCAGTTTCCCAAGTAACTAGAAAAAGGACCAGCATCTTGAAAGATTTACACATTCTCAACAGATATTTGCATTCAGTTTCCTCTCCTCAAGGCAACCATTGCAGAAGGAACTTGTGCAAGTTGGGTTTTGCCATTTTCTGGGCCAATGTGAGTTAAAACCTTTGTCAGCTGGTGACAAACATTGTTTGAGTCTTCTTCCCCTATATCTGTAGATGTAAAACTTGTGTGTAGCTCCAGAAACCACTGGAATGTTCAAGATGAAAATAATTATTTCTCAGTGCAGGAATGGGAATAGAGAATACTTAAATTCTGCTCTGCTGCACGTGGTTATTTGGCTGTTTTCAAGGCACTGTATGTATCCTGCCTTAGTTAGACCTTTTAACCAAGTCACCTAAGACAGGAATTTCATTGTGTTAAACTCCCTCTTTAGTTAGTAAGAGAAAGACAGGCAGCTGCTGAGGGTGGTTTATCCAGTTTAAAGCTACTTAGTGTTTGAAGCTCCAGGCAGAAATGCTACTGGGTGGACTCTGTTCTTCAGTTTCAGAATTTAAAGATCAGTTCAGGATTGTGGAGCAGCTTATTTTGGTAGTGCCTGTGAAGGTTGAGCCTTTAAAAATTCAGCCCTAGTTGTGTACAGAAATTGTTCATTCAGATTTAATGACCACTTTCAAAATTGCTGAATCGTACCTTCAAACCCTCAGATTTTGAACTTGAAAAAAAAAAAAAAAAAAGAAAACCAGCAGGAATATAAAAGTTATTTCAAGTTGTGGGTGGAAAAGGAGTTCTAGGATAATTAACTGACACTTTTCTGGTGTTTTATGTTATTCCAGCCAACCTTTTTTCATTCCATTTTAATATGCAGTTTACCTAAATTATGCTTTAATGAGGAAGAGCAACTTCTCTCAGTGTTCATCACTCTCTCATTCAATTTCTTGTATCATTATATGGATTGTTAGTTTTGCATGCTAATACAGTTTCACTGTCTTTTCTATGACAGTATTGCATTTTTTGACTTTTTTAGATTTAAGACTGAGTGGAATATCTTAAATCTGTCCTCTCCCCCAAACTTGGAAGCCCAGCTGCAGTTCTTATACAACTTCAATCTTAGTGTCTTCTGAGACACATCACAATTGAATGTTGTCTTTGTATCCTCACAGTTGGTTCCAGTATGTTGTGAACACCAATCTCTCCTGTTTGCTGGCAGGACATTTGGTAACTTAAATCCAGCAGAAGTCTTCATCTATTCAGTTTTTTCTTATTCTGATTGTAAGCACCTCCAAAGACTTCTGATAGCGCTTTGTTTGTCTCAGTCTATTTATATCCTTAAAGGACATCTTCTCTTACTGCACTGAGATGAGTTATTGATCAATGGGTATTGGTTAGTAACAGTTCTCAGCCAGTCTCCAGAACATACTTCACCCTGATCACTGCTTGCTTTGTTGTGGCATTTAGGAAGAAGTTTGCTGTCTTTTGCTTTGTTGTGTCTAGCACTTGTCCTCTTGGGTAGCTTCTCACCACAGTCATTGATCATGACTGTTGCTCCAACATACTTACTTCCCTGTTTTCTGTATTCAGTGTTGGTCATTTACTATCTATGTCCTGTTGTAAAGCAGTATTTTATCCGGTGACAGAATGCTAAAAAAATCTTCTGAACCTCCTCACATATATTTTGCTTTAACGTCTACTACTTCTAGGTGCCATGCCTCCTGCATTTTCACCGTTTTCTCCTTTCTTTTTCTGAAGGATTTCTTGTGGACTCTTTTTTTATCTTTTTCATTTCATTATTATAGCTGCTGTCTACAGACTTCTTTTGTGAAAATTAATTTAGCTTCCTTCTCTAACCTATTCATTTACTCTTTTTTTTTTTTTTTCAGACAATTTTCTACTTTTTTAATTAATTCTGTTTTTCCAGCATGTCTGTTTAAATTCCAGGTCATGTTTATCTTCAGTTGCTCAAGAATGATTCACTAGCACATCCTATTTCCCTCATCTGGTCCGTCTCTGATTCTGACACACTCTGAAACTTTCAGACATCCTAGATTCACAAACGCCCTCTTGCTTTTATCATTTTCAGCATCGAGAGCTGATTATTGACACCTTAAATTATGATATTCCAGTATTTCTTGAAGTGGCATGTTATCTGGTTAGAGAAATAGAATACCCATGGAGAATTTATGTGGGGGAAACATGAAAATGGCATAAATACCACATTGGTATAATACTGATCTTTTGTTGTCTAATTTCAACAGATTCAGTAGCAACAGCTTCTGGGCCACTGCTAGTTGAAGTTGCCAAAACTCCTGGTGCTGCTCTTGGGGTTGCACTAACTACCTCGATGTGCTGCAACAAACAGGTCATTGTCATAGACAAAATCAAATCTGCAAGTATTGCAGACAGGTGAGTGTGACAGAGGACTGACACTGCAGGTCCATGCATCCATTTTACTCCTTTTTCTGTTTGGTCTGGTTTTAAAGGAACCCTTCCCTTTTTTGAGAAAATCAACTGAACCAGGTCCTGTCAAGGTTGCATGTCTTAAAATTAGCACTTTGTCAGATCACTGTTCCAGTCTAAGACTTCCAGGACGCCACCTACTTTAGCTCATTCATGTAGTATTTGGTGACATAAGCCAGCCCCCATGTAATATGTGACTGGCTGCTTGCACTGTGCAGCACAGGAGTTTAGAGGTCTGCTTTGGCTGTTAAATGTAATGCTGTGGCAGAGATTAGTATTTAAAAAAAGAAACTGTAACCCGCTGGAATTCTTGAAGTAAGCCCACCATATGGAACAGCTGTCCAGGAAAGTAAATTTTAAGGCTTTGCAACCTTGAAGTGTTCTTTAGAATATATTGCTCATTCTTGTGGCACAGTGAAATGTAACTCCTTATGTCTGGATTCTTTTACTGATATTTTAGAATACAAGTGAGGTATAAGGAAGACTGGCTTCTGTATTTCTAAATTGTTTTGCTGTGATATTTCCGCTTTATTTAAACCTTTAAATAAAACCATGTAAACCATTACAATTATAGCTAGATATTTTTCCCCAGTGGTCTGAACCTCTGGAACAGAGTTTTGGGATCTTTGCTGGGGTGTGTGTGTGTGTGCGTATGTGTGTGCTTATACATATACAATATATTTCTATATTCATGTCTCTATCTAAATTTTTTTAAATATTACGTTTCAGCAGCAAATTCCTCCTGCATGTTCCCAGTCACCCTACCTTGTAACTCCTCTTTGGCAACGGTGCTTTTGGTAGCACCCACTTGTAGCAGTGAGTCTACAGCTCCTCTGTGGGCTTTTCCCTACAGTAGAAACTTTGAGAGTGACGGCCATTGATCCAGGGGTGTTCTCCAGTTCAATGGTGCAGGATGCTTTAATTTTCTCCCTCTGTTTTCTCCCATTTCACAGGGGGTAACCAATTAAAGGAGCTGTCCACTTGACTGGTACGTCGGGATGCTGACTGCTGTGTTTGCATTTCTCAACTCATCCAGTAGCCAGTCTCGAGTGCAGCGAGATTTAGCAGATAGCCCCCTCCCCACCCCACTCCTAGAGTCACCATGCTAGCCCTGGTTTCATTATTTGTTTGACTACTGCATAATTTCATCATCATTTACAGCTTTTGTACTAATAAATGTTTGAACTATAACTCAAAAAATGATGAACTGGGTGCTTGTGTGAGGGATATGTGACCAAGTTATTCGAGTCTCCTTAAGCTCTCCTCATTTTATCCTGCTGCCATTCACACATATTTTTAGAGTCAGCTACCCCATTGCAGTTCTGTGAGTGATGTCTTGGCATATACTGTATTAACTGAATTGTTTTTAAGGTTTGTACTAATAGAGATAAAGTCTGACCAGTGACAGTGCCTACAAAACACAAATGTCTCTCGAAAAAAAAGAACACGTTCATAATTGTCATGACCAGTTTGAAGGGAGAAGAACTCATTGTGCAAGCAGAGAGCATACCTGATCATACCAAGTTTTTCCCCTTTTATATAGATGTGGTGCATTACATGTAGGAGACCATATTCTGTCCATTGATGGCACCAGCATGGAGTACTGTACGCTGGCGGAAGCAACGCAGTTTTTGGCTAATGCAGCGGATAATGTCAAACTGGAGATCCTTCCCCACCACCAGACACGGCTAGCACTGAAAGGCCCAGAGCACGGTAAGAGAATCTCTAACACCAAATACCTCTTTCTCTTTCTTCCTTTTACTTTGCCCACCCATGCTGAGTGGCCAAAGCTATCGCTGCAGTTATGTCTGTAAATGTTGTTTCAGCTCCCCAGGTTATGCTTCTGCAGCTTCTGAGCAGCTCTGTGTTTTCTCGGTCTTAATGAACCCTCTGAGATTCCTATGGCCAGAGAGGGAGATGTTTTGCTGACAAAACTTGCAAATGTACATAAAGACACCTGTTGATTCTACTGTTGCAGTTGTTGGGGGTGCTATGAGTTACATCAGTAAATTAATCTCTACATTGTTTCTTAAATTTAGAGTGGGGAAGTAGTACCACAGCCAACTTATTTTCAGCATATTGACTTGATGGTTATGGTCACTTCATTAATAACACCCGTTCTCCCCTAAAATACGTAAACCCCTCCTGTATTTTCACTTGTTAATGGCTTTATTATTTATTGCTGTCATCTTTTAAGGTGCTTCTGAGATTGCTTCATGGGTTCACTGTCAGTGCTTATGAAAACTGTTTGGAAACATTTCCCTAGATTGCAATACTTTCACTGCAATACTTATTTCATACCAACATGCTTGAATAGAATGGCTTTCCATTCTCAAATCAAATATATATAAAATGTCTTTTGAAGATGGAGGCTGCCTGCCTTGTCTTCTAACTAAGAGTGAGAAAGTGACTAATTCACAGTAATCCATTAATTCAGTCTAAAATAGCACACGTTGATAGACATCAAAACAGTAGCAAGGGTTATCAAATGCCCAGAGAATAGGTACATGTGTTGCAGCATGAATCAGTGGTAACATTTTTCTGAGCCTGTGGTACTGTGCTTCTGCCTTTTTTAGACCAAGACAAGATTTCTGAGGTCTCGAAATGTCAGTGATGGTAAATGCTTTGGGCCATCCATGCAACATCCAGGTTGTCCCTTGAGAAGTGTTGTTCTGGACATTTTCTCAGAGTGGGAAATACTGAACTAGAGACACAGGAGACATTAGTTTCTCCTAGACCAGGGCGAACAAAAAGTAACCTTTGCAATTACATGTTTTCCCTTTACTCAGCTCTTCCCCTTTTCTGCTTAAGCTGGTTAGAGCTACAAGGAGCAGAGAGAGTGGTACTGCACAAGCAGAACAAGATGGAGAACAAATTTGTGATTCCTTTCAGTTATGTCACTACATTGCAAACAAATCTTTGTTTTGTTTTGGGGTTGGTTTTTTTTTGAAGCAAAGGTGTCATGCAATTAATTTCTGGATGGTTAAAGAATTTTAATAAAGACTTTTTGAAGACAAATGCTGGGGCTAGTGATTTGTGTAGTTGATTGTATTACTTGAAGCAGTTGATATGTTAACCAACATTTATAACAGAATGATGCTGTTAATGTTCTAGTAACCTGTGTAGATGCTTAGAAAAAGCAATGCTCTTGCTGTGCCAGAGTTAAGAACTGTCTGTTACAAAATCATATCAAGATGATCTGCAAAAGATGATATACAAGAGCATCTTTTGGGGAAAAGTATCCCTAAAGTAATAAAGTTGCTTTCTTCAGTAAGGCAGAATAACTAGGATGTTTACAGCCCTTTCCAGCCCCTCACCAGGTGATGCTACCATAATATCATGACCAATTCAAGATATAACAAGCTTTATAGAAGCAAGTACCCTCTTAGAAACATCTTTCATCAGGTGTGGTATGATCTAGAGGCTGCAGAGAGTGAAAAATCTCCCTTGACCTGTCTGGAATAAGCTGAGTCATTAGGGCTGTATCTGCTGAGCTCAGCTATTGGTCTTGGGGGAATATGTTAGGAATTTAAAATGGGCAGGAAAGTCAGTATATAAAATAAACTGAAATTTTAGCCCTAAAATAAAGCAAAGAGTTCTATAATAGATAGGATTTTTTTCATGGTATTTTTTCCTTTATACTGTGCTACTGACATTCATTTCTCTTGCTGCCCCATTAGTTTTATGTTTACTCTACACAACCCTGTACTGGAATAGTTGAAATTACCACTAAATTACTGTGGTTACACACAAAAGGATTTTCTTTTACAGAACTTCTGTTGAATTGGGACTATCCTTCTACAAGCTGAGCAAACTGAATTTGTGTACTTTCCCACTTTGTAGGACATTTTTATCTCTATTCTTGGCATGAAAATAAAACATTAGGCATTAAGAAAAAGTCTCAAGGACTACCAGATAATTTCCTGCTGGAAGCAGTCTTTTTAATTAAACAATGCTCACAGCAGCTTGAAAATAATGAAAATCCACCTGGCCATATTGTTCTTATCAGATTTTAATTTTTTCACCATAGTTGAAGTAAAGAAATCTCTCTGTCTGTGCACGTGATTGAGGAGACGGTTTCCTCTGAGAAGACACGCTAAGTCTCTAAGACACATAAGGCCCTGTCAGGCTGCTTCTGATGTTTCTGGGACTTTCCTGGCTAACATGAGATTTTCCAAACTCCCTGAGGGTGGTGGTGCCACTGGGTGAGGAACCCCAGGGGTGCAGACCCAGCCTGGTGCTGACATTGCAATCCCCCTTACTTTTGATATCTGATATCGGGGCAAAAAAATAATTCTTTTGATTGAGCCCCTGTGCTCCCCCTTCCCTATCCCTTCTCTAGTGTGCACTCCATAGATCCACCTGTAGAGATAGGCATCACTTTTGAGTCAGAATGTATTGTACAGTCAGGCAATTAGCAGATCAGTGCTCATGCAATATGAAGTGAAACCAAAGGACAGCTTTCCTTCTGCCAGGGCACAGAACTTGCTGTGGTGGCTGCCCTTTTCCCCTCTCTTTTTGTCTCATTACAAACACAAGGTGTAGGTCCAACCTAAAAGCTCAAGGTTTTCTGCTCCCGTTAAAGGCCAGCCTGGGGACAGACAAGTCTGCAGCCATAGGTGTAGCAGGTAATACAGCTCATGAGACAAGGACAACAAACTCAGTTTTATAGAAACAGATTTAGAAACACGTTTGGATTAGATGTTAGGAAGAAATTCTTCACTGTGAGGGTGGTGAGGCGCTGGCACAGGTTGCCCAGAGAAGCTATGGCTGTCTCATCCCTGGAAGTGTTGAAGGCCAGGTTGGATGGGGCCCTGAGGCACCTGGTCTGATGAAAGATGTCTCTTCCCATGGCAGAAGGGTTCAAACAAGATGGTTTTTAAGGTCCCTCCAAACCCAAACCATTCCATGATTCTGTTGGTGAATCCCTTGGTCTTTTAAGACAAAAAATTCAGTGAATACTTCCCAGTTTGAACTGTGCTTTTATAGTTAAGCAAGGATACAGACGTGCTGAATTTAATGATGAATGTACTGTATTTAACCAAGGGAGACTTCAATCCCTTTCCTTTAAGATGTGACAACTGAAATGCTTCCCATTCTCTTGGGTCTTCACTTTCAGTAGATCCCAGATTCCACATATGTAGAACCCACAATTAAATAATCAAATATGGTCTCACATTTCATCCAGTGAAGGATCATTTTAAAGTTTTTAAGAAATACAACCAAAAACATGAAGGAAAACATAAAATTGCACATCCAGCTAATCAATAAGACCTCTTTTCTTTATTAACCAGGTTTCAGGATACAGTTTTCCTGCTGTTGGCATTGGGAAGTCATTTACTGCACAGAATAGCATAATGCCAGCAATAGATTGTGGCAAAATTAAAATGTCAATACAGTGAATTGAAATGGAAAGGAAGCATTTCTGTTCTAGGCAGTGCCATGTAAAGTATCTGGTTGGTCTTTTTAAAAGAGATGCGTGCAAGTAGAGAGTTTTTAACCTTCAGTTAGTGGTCGTATGTAGTACCTTAGTATTTTCTGAGAAAGTTTGCAGTCCTAGCCCCTAAGCCAGAGGGAGATTAGAAATTGAGTCAGTAATCATAATTTTTAAAACAAATACAAAAAAGAAAAAAAAACTTAATTAGAAGCATTTTTTCTGAGAAAAAATATTATTTCTGTTCCTCGAGTTAGAACCCCCTGACAAGAAGGCAGGACCAGGTTTTTTATTATTTTATTTTATTTTATTTTCAATTTATTTTCTTTCTTTGACTTCTGTTTTTTGTTGGGTTTTGTTTTGTTTTGTTTGTTTGTGCAATTCAGTTACTTTTACCTCTTCTCTGGTCCTTTTGTTTTCTGATTTTCCATCATCCCTTCATGCGGGCAGTGAAGGTTGAAAGAAGCAACAGGCAACTTACCTGGGATTCGTGTGCCAACAGCCACAGCAGCCTCCTCACCTACCACCATTATAACACCTACCACCCTGACCATTGCAGGATGCCAGCCTTGAAATTCCAGAAAGCGCCTCCTCAAAAAAGCCTTCGTAATGTTCCACACTTTTCCTGCTGACATACTCTCCTCCTCTTCTTCTTCTTCCTTCTCCTCCCTCCCTCCCTCTTTCACTCATACTTTTCCCATTTCAGGCTCTAAAACCTTTTCAGTTTTACGGATGCTACGCTTTTTCATAGCCATGCCAAGGTTATTTCTGACATTTTACACCTTTTCCTCTCTTTAAAAAAGCAGCCTTTGTAGACAGGAAAAGGCTTGAAAATTCTGAACGAAACAGCTCTTCTTCTGTGTATGAATGCACCATTGGATTGAAGAAGTGTATGTAAAGCATGATTATTGAATGCAAAACATTGCTTCCAAACCTTTGTCAGAAATTACCTACTACAAAAAGGCATTTCTAAAATCAGTGTGTCTAGATATATTGATATGCATTAGTTTGAGGATGTGTGTTGAAATTTTTTTTATGCTTTTTTAAAAATTAAAAATTAAAGATTTTTAATGCTTTGCATAAAGTAAATGGTATACTATGAATATTCCTTTTGTGTCTACATTATCTTTGTTAGCTTCCAGCAGGTGTTGTCATGAAATGCTGGCTTTACTTTTTCCTAGGATCACCTGTGTGGTTTAATGTCTTTATTACTGGAAATGCACAAACCATTCCTGTGCATCATACACAGCCTATACATACAATGTTTGATTCATTGATGAGTTTCAGGCATGTGCCGCACTCTTCTGTGAAGACTGAATGCTGTATGCCAAGTGTTTGATTTCTTACAGCAGCTCTGGTGTCTTCATCCTTCTCTCCTACCTCCATGAGTGCATACAGCCTGAGTTCCCTGAACATGGGGACCTTACCTCGCAGCCTCTACTCCACCAGCCCACGGGGGACAATGATGAGGCGGAGGATGAAAAAGAAGGACTTCAAAAGCTCCTGTAGGTGGTAACAGCATTTGCTCAAAAATGTGCAGTGAATGAATGGGTGGAGGAGGGGGAAGATGCAGAAAAAAAGTCGCACAATACCTTAATTAATATACATATATTCTAGACAAAAGAGAGAGTTTCTGGTAGATGTAGGGAAACGTAAGGGTAAAAATATTTGTCCAATGCTAAAATGAGATGTGTAGATGCTATGCAGCATAACTATCTCATCTGAAATTTATAAAAGAATGTTTTCTTCAGACAGTGCTGGAAGAGTTTCCTACACCATTACTGAAGTGGTTTTCAAATTCCTTTTTCAACTCTTCCAGTGTCCATTAGGGAATATAATTCATAGCTGAATAGTCAAAAACAGGCTGCTGGTAAGCTCAACCAAATGTCACATTAGGGAAGGCAGAGTTTGCCACAACACCTCCTAGGTAGTTCTAATGTCTACATCTGCTCCATGACCTGTAGAGTTGTTTTGGTGAGGGAGAGCAACACGTTACAGTGAAGACTAAACAGCCTCATTTGACCACTCTCTGTGATTCTAAGCATGGATTGCCTAGGAGTCAGTCATTTCCCAAGCCAGAGTAGATCTATTCAGGCTGTTCCACTTTGCATATTGCTAAGCATTCAATGTGCTGACAGGAGTGTGGCTGTCAGTGCACATTTTCCCAGGCTCCATGTGAGTTCCACTTCTCTTTTGGCTTGTCCATCTGTGTGTGATCCACAGCAGCTCAGTTCCTCCAGAGCAGGGAGGTGAGAGCTGCTCTGTAAATCATTTATTTGCTCTAGGTAACAATGCTCAGAAGTCCACTCTGGAAGAACTGAGCTGCTGCACGCTACAGGGCTGCTGCTGTGTTTTAAAGATTCCCCATGGTCATACTAAAACCAGAGCAAACCAGCAGCTTCTAAAGCCAGTCACTGCAGTATTGTGAGAATACATTAGAGAGGAACTGAGGTTTTGCTTTCTTGCAGTTTTTGTTGCTTGCTTGTTCCTTATTTCTTCTGAAAAGCTCATATTTTTCATAACATTTGCCTGCAAGTGCATTTTTTATTTTTAATCCAATCAGCCATTTTTCACAGCTCATCTGTTGACATGCTAGCTTCTAATGCATTCTTTTGGGTCCCAGGGGGATACTGTGTCTGTCGTGCTATGGTATCAGTAGAGGTCCAGCTCTTACATGTTCTCCTCTGCACGTGAGAAACAGTAGTAATGTTATATTAGTAGTAATTGATTTGAATAGTAAAATCAATGCAAAAAATAGTTCATCAATTGTGCTATGTTAAAACTGTTTAACAAAGGATGAAATCTTCAAAGCTAATCCTGTTATGGATCTTGGACACAGCTGTAACTTGTGTTGTTAAATTTTTCAGATATTTTTCCTTCAAGGAAGCCTTGTCCATGTTATCTTGCAAAGACTCAAAAGAAAGCCAAGGATGTGGCATTTAAGTGGGACAGTCACATAAGCACTGCAGCCCACCTAAAAGATTTTTCAAGTCAGAAGGCCTTGGGGATGACAAGCTGCTATGAGTAAACAAATCTCTAGATAGGAGAAGTTAGGACAAGGCTCAGTTGTGCAGCAGTTTATTACATATTCATATTGTGAAGTCTTGATATAGAACATTTCAAAATAGGTGAAACTCACTCTGTCACTGTGTGGTCGGTGCCTCATTACAACCAGTGACTACATCAACAACCCTGGACCAGAAGTGGCTTTGGAGGAATTGGCTGGCCAGCCAGACTCGTTTGCTCTTTTTATGAGGTTGCTTATTAGCCCGTGCAGAGTTCCTTACTCAGTTTGTAGACTAAGACCCGTACTTGTGACAGCACTAACAGCCAACTTAAGAGACCCACACTGCTCTGAATGTCCTGCAACACACCAGGGTAGAGAATGTCCTGTACCTTTCCACTACCCATCAGCAAGACTTGGAAAACCTCTCCCTTTGTGGGAGACTCATGAGAACCAGGTAGATTGACTGCTGTGCTTTTCATGGAAAAAAAGAGTGGCACACTCTTAATTTTAGTGGGATTCTTTTTCTTTAATCCAATTGGATCATTTGAGAGTTTTATTAAGACAAATTTTAATAAATCTTTTAGAATGTCACTTGGGAACAAAAATATGTAGGTTGCTATAAAGTTTATATTGTCAATTATTTAAGAATACTTGCACAACATCATGTGATCATGGCATAATTCATGACGATGAAGTGCGATGGCACGAGGGGTTACAAGATTTTTATGGTCCTGATTTAACAATCATTGCATTAGTTATGCAGACCATTCTAAATATGTGGCTGTAAAAACTGAGGGCATGCCCTGCTGCCACAAGCTTTATTTATGCCACATGTTTAGAGTTTTTATACTTCCTCTGCTTTCGTTTCTTTGTTTAAGGTGTGGGATTTGTTGTGGAAACACTTAGATTATTATTTCATAAAAGTTTAAATCCTGAATATTTTGTAGTAGGTCCCTATTAGTAGTTGGAAGCGAGACATAATTTATGCCAATTTACTTTACTAGGGTTGCATATCTGGTAGAAGTAGGAAAGGGGTTTAGACATGCATGGGTGCTCTTTTCTCAATAGCTCTCAGGAGGAATTGCAAACATTTTTCAGTTTCTCGTGGCCCAGAGTGGGAGACTGGAGGCATAATAACCCATACATGCACCTTGAAACAAGTCTTGTTCTGCTTCTCATATAACTGCAGACACAAAAGTAACAAATATATAACCTTTGAATTCAAGATTGTTATTTACATAACTGCAGAGCTTATAGCAATCCAGCCCCCAGGAATGTTGCTGAGAGTTAGGTGAGAACTATACAAGTATGCTGGAATGTACTCCTAGCAATGGCAGCCAGTGTTCACTGGAACTGCAAACACATCCATGTCCCTTTTTTAAATCAACAGCACTGCTCCCTGGCCTGTAAAAATTGTAATCCGTCAAGGAACCAAAAAATGTCAGTGTTTCTTGCTACAGTTACTCTTGAGTTACAAACCCCTCTATGCCATGCTCTAAGGCATGGGTTTGGGTACCTGTGACATTTTACAGAGTCATAGGAAATAGGTATTGTTACATGATTAGGAAAGGATATTTTCATCTCTGGGTTTCTTTTTTTGTTTCTGTTTCTCTTTGATATTCTTTCGGAGTGGAAGGAGTTCCTAATTGTCATACTTAAGTGTCAACATCATCAAAATGTTTATCAGAGTGAGTTTTAAATCCCACAGATAGTGACTTAATTTCCCAATTTGAATTAAAATTTTACTGCCCTAGAAGTTGAAATAAATTTTATGAGACATTTAGGTTCCTGATAGGAAGTTATAAAAAGAGTAAGAAGGTTACAGAGTCAGCTAGATACCTGCTGCATGGGAGGAATAGAGACATAAGTGATGGGAAATAAAGATGAAGTTAGCAAGTAATTGTTATATGACCTTTAAGAAAGGGAAAATGGAACTTTTCTGAGACTGGATGCCCTAAATTAAGATGTTTCTAGAAGGTGTCTTAGGTATTATATTAATTTATTTGGCTTTGTTATATTTTAACCTTTGCAGCAGCAAGGGCTGGAGAAACCTATTTCTCACATGCAGTAAATCCTAAAGCTGATGGAAGCTTCTAAGAACAGATTTTTTGTATTTGCATTTGTGTATAAGCATATCTTGCTGAATGTAGATAAAAGAAACAGTAAGAAGGAAGCTATTGAGTATCTGCAATAATGCACAATTCTTACAAAGGAAACTTGAAACAAGATGTGAGGAAGAATTCACAGTAATTTGGAAAAGACAATTTTCGAGTGACAGAAACCTGTGAGGTTTTTGGCAAGTGAAAATTTTGCAAAGAACTGTCATTGCCAACTGTGATACATCAATCAGACTTATACTAACTGATACAGAGCACAAGTCTGATGCTTGCAGTCCCATAGTGTGAGAAAATACTTATATAACCTCTGACATCTTTGTACAGTTGTGATAATATTATCTATAATGTCAAAAATTTTTCCCAAATCCAAGAGAAATAAAAATGCACAGGTAAACTATCCCTCAAATAAATCATAATTTTTTACCTAATTCTTAGCAGCTGCTGCAGGCAGAAAAGGATTTTGAAGGAAATCAGAGGTGGAGAGGTAATGACACAGACTCAGAACACAAAACCATTCCAAATCCTTGGCATTGGAGGGGTTATCATTACTGAACAGGAATTCAAAAACTCCAGCCTTCTGTGTGTGACATAATGAGAGGCACTAGTTTGTCACTGGAGAAATTCAAATAATAATACAATAGACATTTAGACAGAGGATCAAGGAAGCAAAAGTGCAGTCTCATCCTTTCATAGGTAATTGTGCTGAATTTCAGTGCTGTTTTTGTCTTGATTTGTTCAGTACTGCAGCCTTTCAGAAAAAGTGTGAGTAAAGCAGGAGAACAGAAGTATCTGCCTGAGATTCTCATTAAAGGTCTCCCAGTGGCTTTGAGAGACCCCACAGAACTTCTTTTCTCACAGTCCCTTGAGATATTCTGGTTGCCACAACAGAGTGGTTTGTTCAGCTTCCTTACATTACCCAGTAAGCCTAACAAATTGCTGTCTTATAGTAAACATGTACAAGAAGAAGGCATTCTTACTTCTTGCAAGCAAGCCTGGTCCATGTGGTTTTGTTGCTAACGATTGCCGTGAGAGGTTCAAAAGAGGGATCTGCCTGAATAACAGCTGGGTTTGTGCCTCCAATTGCCTTAGTTCCTGTTAAAGTCCTGCTTATCCATGCCTCAAATCTAATGCAAACAGAATTCAAGGTTGTCCTGAGATTTTGGAGTGGGGATATCAAACACATTTATTTTACTCAGAAAAAGAACTATCTTTTTGCATTCCAGCATTCAACCAGATGTTTTCTATTAGCTTATATGTCATAACTGTTTATACATAATTTATAAACTTTAGCCTAAATTGACTTTAAAAGAGACATTTGATTGACTAGATTTATTGTAAAGATCAATTTTCTCAAAAAGCAATGGAACATGTGCTGTGTATGAATGTCTTTCCTCCTGGTCTGCTCTGTTTTATAGTGTCTTTAGCCTCTAGCACTGTTGGTTTGGCTGGGCAGGTCGTGCACACAGAAACCACAGAAGTAGTGCTGACAGCTGACCCCATAGTAGGGTTTGGGATACAGCTCCAGGGTAGTGTGTTCGCTACCGAGACCTTGTCTTCTCCACCTCTCATTTCCTACATTGAGGCTGACAGTCCTGCGGAAAGGTGAGGCTCTTTAATTGACTGCTAAATACATCTGGTGGGCGTTCCTCGGGTGCTTTGGGCTTTTTACTTCCTTTCAGTTTGTGATGAATTGCAGGGCCTTGCTCAATGGAGTGGGGCAAGTAATACACTTTCTCTTCTGACAGTGGTGTTTCATGCACTTGATCAGCTATGAAAGAATGACAAGCACCAGTGTTCTGACCATGCACAGTCCTCCAGAAGGAGACTGGAAGCTATATTCATGCAAAACAAACAAAAAATAAATCAGAAAAATCCATTAAGTCAAAATACTGATAATTTAACATGCCGGGGGAAAGTTATATCCATCTCCGTTCAGTTTTAAGGTATCTTAGGGAATTCCAGAATTTTGACTTAATATATTTTTAATTACATTTTTATGCTTATATATGTATTTAATCATGTTATGAGAATGATAGCAGTTGCACAGACAAGCACCAGCTGCCATTTCACCTGCAGCCCAGAGTTAGAGGCAGAGATGATGTCCAAGGATGGGGTGGAAGCATGAACACCCCTCCCCAGCACCTAGCGGGCACAAACCATACTGGCAGTGCTTGAGAGTGTCATGGTGCAGAGGGGCAGCAGCTTCTGTGCCTGGGCAGATTGCTGAGCTGCCACAATTATCCTTCAAGCTCTGGTTGAATGTTTTTGATCAGATGGCTTATATCAGAAACTGTGTGGCCAGCCAGACCAGGGCAGTGATCGTGTCCCTGTGCTCGGCACCTCAAGTCCTGGGCTCACTTCTGGACCCCTCTATATGAAAGATACTGAGGTGCCAGAGTGTGTCCAGAGAAGGGCAGTGAAGCTGGTGAAGGGGCTGGAGAACAGCTCTAACAGGGAGCAGCTGAGGAGCTGGGGATGTTTAATCTGGAGGAAAGGAGGCTCGAGGGGAACCTTGTAGCTCCCCACAACTATCTGAAAGCAGGATGTAGCCAGGTGGGGATAGGTCTCTTCTCCCAGGTAACATGCAACAGGATAAGAGGAAGTGGCCTTAAGTTGTGCCAGGGGAGGTTTAGATTGGATATTAGGAAACTTATAAAAGACATGTAAATATGGCAATTCCACACAGAAAGGGTGGACTTTTCAGTGCTGGGTTAATGGTAGGGCTCAGTGATCTTAAAGCATTTTCCCAACCTAAATGATTCCGTGATTCTGTGATTCTGCTGGTTCTGGTAACATGCACATCTGATGATTGTCTTGTATCGTTTTGTACCAAGGTGTGGGGTGCTGCAAATTGGAGACAGAATAGTGTCAATAAATGGTATCCCAACAGAAGACAGCACATTTGATGAGGCCAATCAACTGCTCAGAGACTCCTCTATCACCAACAAGGTCACTTTGGAAATAGAATTTGATGTTGCAGGTATGAATGTCCTGTTATTCTGTCTTGCAAGAAAAGCGAAGGAATAAATCCCAAGTACATTGCAAGTGTTTGGCATCTGAGGTAGAGGTTTTCTTCTCACATCTACACCATTAAGTTTTCAAGTGACTTATTTGAAACATGTTTCATTTCATTTCACACAGCCCTGCAGTCTACTTCAAAAAGCAAATAGAAATGACAGTCCTGTAGTAAGATCTGGTGACTGTCTCTCCTCTGAGTTATTTCCAGACATTTTTCTGGCCTGAGATAGAAATGTTTTGCTAAACAGAGACAAAACCCCTACAGGCCAAATAATGAAATATTTTGCAAGACAGAAAAGTATTAAAAAGTATGGATAAACAAAAAAAACTCTCGAGGTGTTTACAGTATCGCTAAATAAAATAGTAGAAACTGAATTAATAGAGGCCAGATGAATAACTGTTAATCTTTCAGTTATTATTACTAATGGCATTCCTTTATTCTGTCATGTGTTTAAGCATAAAGAATATACCCATGAAATCACAAACTGTGCATATCAAACAAGTACACATTATGTATGTACACCACTGGATTCCTTTTCTTCCCACTTGATGTTAAACCCATGGCAATTACCTTAGCAGACAGTTAAAAATAAGTGGTAGTCCTGCAGCAACAAAGCTCGGAAGTCCTTACGACTCAGTCTCCTGTCCTTTTAATTAAAAGCTGTCTGCCAGCAGTAAAATTTTCACTTGTGCTCACAGAACTTGCATATGAGCTAAAAACCTGCAGTCTCAGCTGGCTGCTGGCCCATGCAATCTCCACAAATTCAGTTAAACCTTAAAAAAAATTGAGTTACCGTGAAATTACCAGTAGAGTTATAAATCATGCCTTCTTCATTTTTGCACCCGTGTTTCATCCCTGCCTTATGACTCTGATGTGATTTCATCAATTTACATGTATAGTTCCATGTTCATGGAACTGCTGTGCCTTATAAATTATCTAACATTTTAAATATTTTTTTATAGAATCAGTTATACCAAGCAGTGGAACATTTCATGTAAAACTACCAAAGAAGCATAATGTGGAACTTGGCATCACCATAAGTTGTAAGTAAAAGTGCTTATTTTTCAGACCACGTTTATGGGATGATCTGTAGATATTAGTAGATCTTGTAGTTACAGACTCAGGGTGTTTTTGGTATGAACTTCTTCTTCCTTTTTCTAGCTTCTTTTATTCCTTGTTCTCTTTTGAAATCCTCTTCTGTAACATATTTATACTCTCCTTCAAGTAGTTAACAAAGCCAGAAGTTTGCCAAATCGAATGTTTCACTTATTCCTTCATGCATAGGACATATTTAATTCCTAATAAAATTATTTATTTAAAACAAAAGAAAAAATAAATCAGCAGAAATAGGTCCATGCAAAAGTATTTCCATAGTTGTGAAGTTTAAAGCAGAGTTTGTCATGGTCTCTCACAGACTCTTGAACAGAACCCCACTGAGCACAGGACATGAGGCTCCACATGTGTAGGGTTATTTTCTCCTGCAGAACCCAGATACATCCTCAGTCTCTCAAACGTGTGGACAGTCCTGAATGTGTGGGTCACAGCAAAGTGCCCTTTCACTAGGGATTGCAGAGATTGCTGAAGAAGGTCACAAGGGCCTGCATCAGTCTGTTTCTCAAAAACTAGTTGTTGCTGTGGTTTGAAATTAAAAGTGTTTCTATACTTTGTGAGGAGACATTAACGCAATGTGTTACTGGATTTTGATCAGGTAAACTCTGGCATAATAGTTCAGCTCTTGAGGGAAGGAAAAACAATCCATATCAAAGTTAATGGGCTTGACACTGCAGAATCTGGTGTCATCAGAATTAACATTCTTTTATGGCTGTGGCCTTTCTTAGGCTATTAGTCTTTCTTTGGAGTTATTCATATCTCTTGGGGGAAGATTGTGCTTTGACTTGCATTCTCAAAGCTTTTACCAGCACAGTGGAATATGGTTAATCAAAGGTACAGCAGGGATCTCAGTGCTAAGGATTACATCAGAGAAACAAATGGGAGACCCTGCAGGTCTGTTTGCTTGTGTTGCCCACTTGAATGAGTAACTGTTAGACTCTGTAAGACGTGATGTGATGCTTGAAGCAAAATCATACACGTACATGTATCTGTGCAAATGAAAATTGAGAAAGGAGAAAACATAGAATGAGGCTGTTCTATGTAAATGTTATTCTTAGGATTGATAAAGTTTTGTAAGGTTACTGAAAAAATATAATCTTCCTAGTAATTTGATTTGTGTTGTCTTTTAGAATACAGAAATCTACTTTTTTTTTTTTGTCTGTAGGAATAAGCTTTTAATGGAAAGCTAATATTCTTGCAATTGAGTATTTTGCACTCCTCTTCCAAACTTTGCATGCCTTACTGATCTGGAATTTCATTCCAAAAATTAGTGCTTTATGAAATCAGTGCCCTATATAATCAGAGTAACATGTGGTAGGTCTTAGCTCTGCTCTTGTGAATATACAGCAGTAACTTTAATATTTAAATTAAATTATGTGTTATGTACAATAATCTCTTTAACAGTATTCAATGCATATGAAATTTATCTAGGATTAATTATTTACATGGTTTTAAAGGGTTTATATTAATAACTGGTAGAAGTCTTGAATTGCTGCATTTCACGCTTGCTCTTCAGTGTTTTGCTCTGTTTTACCTAATTAACTCCTAAAAAAGGCAGTATGATTTGAAGAATGTAAGCATTTTATATTCATTTTGTGAAATTTCTGTCAGAATACTTCAGCACATTAGCATGCCATTTATTACTGATATTTTCAGAAAGCTGTGTAATTTATTTTAAATAACAAATACTAAGGGAAACTTGGCAGAGTTGGTATGTCTTAAGTAAGCAGGGGGATGGAGGTGATCAGATTTATTCACTTGTGGGCTTGATCTCTTAAAAGTGATAGAGACCTGTTTCATCCTCTTACAGAAAAACACCTTTTTTATCTTCCATATCCCCCATTTTGCTTGGGATTTATATGAGAAAGGCAGGAAATTACCTAATCTGACAGACAAGACAGATATTTTTCATCAGATGGGAAACAACTTCACATTGGGCTGGCATGTAAACATATCTCTATTTTTAAGTCCAGGAGTTCTTCTAGGTCAGTTGTTAGGAGTCAGAGATCCTAGGAGAGGAATTTATTTCTCTTTCTTGGAATTGTTTTCTTTGGTAATGAACACCAAGAGTGCTTGCATGGAGTTACAACCAGGTGCTGTATTGAAGGCATGTCTGAGGTGACACACAGCACTAAAGACAATTAAGCTAATTCATGGTCTTTGAAACACAAGACTTGTAATAGGAGAAGAGACTTTCCTTAGTTTCAAATTTCTTAATCCAAGAAAAAAACCCAGAAAAAAATAAAAATCCCCTTAGATAGCATAATTCCTTTAAAGCAGGACAGAAGAAAGTTTCATGAGCATCACTGTTAACGTTAAGCCAGGGCTCTGGGTTTTGAATAGCTCATGTCAGTTCCTGGTCTTGCCCACTGCTGCCTTCATACACACGTTGCAGTCCTATCATTCATCCCTTATCTCTGCTATATCTGTCTAATTTTACCAATGACAAATACTTACACTCAACAAAGAGCTTTACTGCATATTTTGCAAATACACGTGTCTATATATTTAATGCTTCATATATAACTAGTTTCACACCCAGTTACCTGATTGCAACAAGTAGAAAGTCTCAGTTCTTAAAATTATATCATCCAAATAAAGCACAGGACTGTTCCTGTGCACGTGATTATGCTTTTATGACAGAATCATTCCCTAGAAGAAGGAACACTTACAAGTAGTGCTAGTAGTACTCAAAGCTATTTCTGTTTATTTGCCATTGCCATTGATTTTAGACCATGTAATGAATATAGATTTTTCTTTTTAAAGACAAAAGCCTTTTTTAAATGGTTTTGAGGCAACTGGCTACTTTATCATAGACTAATTATTTTTTTGTCAAGTACATTGAACGGTGTCCAGTAAAATGGCTTACTAGTGGATTCTGGTAATTGTAGTTAATACCATTTTTATTTTCCTTTCCTTTTCTTTTTTTCTCTCTTATGTAAGATTCTGATATCCTTACTGGTAATGAACTGCAGCACCTTGCTTCATAAATAATCTCTCTGAAGCTAGTGGGACTGCTCAAGGAATAAGAAGCTGCAAAGCTGGTAAGAATATCAGAATCTCACCCAAGCTATCATCAGTTTCTCTGAGTCATTTTGACTAGCAGCTATAATGTAGTCTGCTTTATTGTTTTTGTGTTTCATCAGAAACAAGCTTTGTAAATATCTACAGATACATTGACTATGAGAATTTATTTTCTAAAGCATGTTTCTGTATATTTTGTGATTTCACCTGGCAAGATCTACTTAATTTTGAAATATTACAAGTGATTCTTTTCAAGACAAAAGAATACCAACAGATTTCTCAGCTGCTCCACATGAAGCAATACTTAAGGAACAAAAGAGCTGCATCAGTGTAGTTTTAAAAAGCTCCTTCATCTATTTATTAATCACACTATTCTTAAAAACATCTTCTAGCTGTAAACCAGCATTGTGGATAAATGGGCTGACTTGGTATAAAAAGTATTCTTCCATCACATGAGCATTTTCCTTTGCTTGTTCAGTTTGTTCAGAGCTTGATCAAACTCCAAAGTTTGAAGCCAGGCTGAGAGTGAATTTTGTCTGGGTGGTGGGTGAGATGTCCACTCCAAAATCTGTTGAAGTCACTTAGTGGGGGGGTTTTGTTTGAGTTAGCAGTTTAATAAGAAAGGAGCCTTGTTTGAGGGGTTTTTAAATGTAATGGAACAGCTGATACACAGAACTGACAACACTTTATTGAAGTTACTTTCAAGTAGCTGGGAAAGTTTAGTAGAATAAGGTAGAGACCTGGGATGGAGACCTAGGATCAGTAATTTAAAGAGAGAGAACAAACAACTTGTTCTAGAGCAGCCTTTTTACTGCAACACTAGATTTAGTACCTGCACAACTTTGTGCATTCTTCAGTCCACTTGTAGTTGTTCATACAAACTCTAAGGTCTCTACAAAAGCTGAACATGGGGTAGAGTAACAGCTGGAATAGGGAGGAGAAAAGATGAGATCTTCATTGGATGAGCAGAATGGCACAAGGGCAGGAAACAAGTGTAAAGCTGTAACAGAGGCCACAGATGTGGGGAGAGACTGAGCTGTGGTCAGGATTAGGGGCAGCTAGGACTTGAACAAGTAGACTGGACATGAGTGAGTGGTAAGGTGCTTCGTTTTTAGCAGCCTCTTAAAACCAGAAATCATTCTGGAGACTTGAAGCTGTACAGTGTCACTTCAAGCTTGCATTAATTGATGTGGATATATTAACTGGTCAAATACTGCTTTCCCACTGGAACTCTGGTTTCTCTGCTCTCTGTGGAGAGATGAAACAGTGGTGTGTAACAAAGGGGAGGGAGGCTGCATAATGAATGAGATGGAGGATTGCAGAAAGACAAAGGAGGCGATCTCATGGTCAAGGTGATTTAATGCTACCCTGGAGAATTTAGGGTGATTTTTCTTTTCTCTGCAAAAGACTCATGCTGAGACAGGTCATTCTGGGAGTGGGGGTGGAGATTTTCCATAAGTGGCTGCTTGATTTTGAGCTGAAACATTGAGATCCTGGGGTTGCACTCACAGAAATTCTACTCATCTGCAGCTGTTGCTGAAAATGCCAGTAGTTGTATTTCAGACATAGAAGCTCTTGCATTCTACAAAGTATGGTGAGATATAAAGGCAGGGATATCTCAAATTGCTCACTGAAAAATGTCATACTTTGAGTTAAATTTTCCTATGTTTCCTTTCCTTTTTCCTTTCCTTATCTGTAAAATCAGGATAATAGTACTGAATCTTCTTGCTGGAGACAGCATCTGTTCACCAGTTTTTGGGTGGCAATCTTAGGCAATGTAATCTTAGGTAATGTGCAAAAAGGTACAAAAGTTCAGGAGGAGATGAATGATTTTATTTCTGCAGCACAACTTGAATCATTTGTAGGAAGTATGCCATGAGCATCAAACAATAACAAAATGAAGTGTGGTGCATCTGCTTCTCAGCATGGGGGGATTAATTTCACACAGGGCTGTGTTTGGTGCCTACAAAAAGGCTTTCATTCTCCAGACCAAATAATAGACCAGGAGAACTCATAAGATACTGCTGGTTCACACTTCCTCAGTTTGAAACTGTGATACCTTTGTGTGCAGCACCGTACTCTTTGCATCCACATGTACTTTGTGGCTCTGCTCTTTGAGCTGTGCTCTTTCCCTCATTTTGGTTCCTCCTCTCTTCTTTTTACAACAATAATGGGCACTTTTCATAAGTTCTGGAAATTTTGTAAGACGGTTTCATAAAAAGTATTTCAAGACTCAAACCCTGGTCTGCAGTGGGTAGCATATAACCTCAGAGTAAGGCAACCCAGAGGGTGAAAACATAGAACTAAAAAATCACCAGTGATAGTCTAAAATTTTAACAAGATACTAGTTGGTAAAACAAATCCAAAGGATTCAAGTAAATTATGGAATTGTAATATATTTGACCTATGACATGAAAGTATGACGAACAAGCTATGAAAATTACATCTCTTATAAAATTTAATTGCTGTTCTCTAAATTGCAACATAATCATTTCCTGAGAGCATGCTGTTTTAGAAAAAATTCTAAAAATTCTTCAAAGTCCTTGTATGTCCATCTTCTGGACTTTTGAGACATTGCATTTGAAATATGGCTCTTCTTGAGTTCTTGAGCAGTTCCTTTGGATATTCAAAGGCTGTCTCAGCCAGGGCAGCTAAGGTTAACAAGACCTGTTAGCATACTGTGTTGGAAATGTCATTATTAATTTATCATGTGGTTGCTGTAGGTGAAGATCTGTCATTTTGCATCAAAGAGAAGATTCATGAGCTTCTAAAGTAACTGACATCAGGATTTTGTAGGTGATCCTCCAATATGGGCAGCTTTTTGGGTGATTGTCAGTTCAGGCGTGGGAGCCTAATGGAAACCTTCTGTGAAAGAATGCAGAGGGCTCAGTACACAGAGCAGAAATGGTGTGGGGCAGTTGAGGAACCATAACTGTGCAAAACTAATTAGTGCTTTCAGGAGAGCTGAGACCATTATACTGCATGGCAGTGTTTTAATATCAGCACACTGTTTGTTAGCAGTCCCAAACGTCACTCTGTGTTCACCACGTGGAGCACCTCCTGGACAGAACATCTGCAGGTGATACTCTTCCCAAAGGTAGACAGCATGTGCTACACAGTTGTCTTAACAATGTGTCTTCATCATCCTCAAATTCTAAGCTGACTGCTTGCCCTATCATATCTTCAGTCTTCCATCAGCAAATGGATGAACCCTCCAAAACAATGGAGCTACTTCAAGAAACAGTCCTTCCTCTGGTGTATTTTACTGCTTCCTAGGCAACTGAAGGTCAAGCAAAATTGCAGACCAAATTTCCTAGCCAAGGGAAACTTATGAAATACTTTTGTACAAGTTAGTAAAGAGTTGCAGTGCCTGGTGTTGAAGAGCAGACCATCTTTTTAACCATGAGGGACAGATAGAAAAATTGACCACTAATGTCAGATTCTTACAAAAGGAGATAAGTGTGCGAGGAGAGGAGTGGTGGGAGTTTTACTACACTGACTGGAATTGCAGTGCTCCTAGTAGTGTCCCCAGTACAAAGTTGGGAGAAGCTCACTACTCTTAAGGTCCAGCAGCAGTACAAGGGGGCAGGGTTACTCATCGAAAGAGGCACGGGTTGCTTCAGAGAAAGCAGAGAATTCCAGTGAAGCAAACATCAGTGTGATGTAAGCTACACCTGTGCAAACATTTCAATAATGTATCAGCCCAATGGGCTGTGTGGCCTCTGTCCACAGCATCTCCTTTATTGGGAAGTGGATTCCTCCTTCTCACCCAGGACACATTGCCTTCATACCCCTGCCTTAAGCACTGGATGGGACAGAAGCTGGTGGAAAGGATGTGGACTAGCCCACTCTAGATACATGGCCAGAGCAGCTCTGTTGGTCAGGAATATAGTACAACAGGATTTATTCTGGCAAAAGATCATCAGTAGTAGTCACACTGGAAGATTGTAAGACAGAAAGTCTTCCTTATGTGTTACAGCTACACAGAATTTTATGACAGATCACTGGAGCTGTACTGTGGCGTCTTCCCGTGCCTCAATCCCGATCTAACCCAGAAATCAAACATATCAGGCTAAGTTCATTTTGTACCAGTCACTTCAATTCTGAAATGTTCTCATTTTTGAGGAGTATCCTGTCTTGCCAATATGCTGCTGCTGTTTGTTTGTACCTGAAGTTCACGTAATTTAGGGGTGGGGGAGGAATGTAACACTGTAAAGAATGTGTATGAAATATTGATTTATGGTCAGAACTAGTCCATCTGCATATCTAGAAACAAAACTAAATGTCTGTATATATTCTTTATTATAGCTCCATCAAGTAGAAAACCAGGGGACCCCCTGGTTATTTCTGATATCAAGAAAGGAAGTGTTGCTCACAGGTAAGACACTAGAGCTCCCAATAAAAATCTGTTTATGTGTGTAACCAGCCAAATTCAAGTTAAACAGAGAGAGCTTGTAAGAGACTGTGCACTTTTTTTTTTTCCTTAAATAAAAGCTTTTGTGAAAAGTTAGAAAATAGAAGGCATATTAAGAAATAATTGTCCTAAAAATCCATCTTGTTTCTGTAACAATGTTTAGACCTTTTAGGATACCTTTCTTTTAATGTTACTAGAGTTCCATGTAACTTTTTCGCAGAACTGGGACACTCGAACTGGGTGATAAGTTGCTGGCAATAGATAATATTCGACTTGACAACTGCTCAATGGAAGATGCTGTCCAGATCCTTCAGCACTGTGAGGACCTTGTAAAGTTAAAGATCCGCAAAGATGAAGATAATTCCGGTATTAGCAATGACTATTGCAGATTCATGTGTATTTTCAGGATTTCTAGAGCAAAGGGGATTTCTTCTAAATTTTAGTGAAATGTTTTTTCTAAACATGTCTGGTTTATGCTAATGATAATCAGAAAATATGACCTAAAAAGAATTTTAATGGTATATAAATTGGTATATAAAAGTGTTGAATTTTCTCACTAGCTATATTGCTTACAGGAGCTGCACTGCAAAATTAGGTCTTCAGTTAGCTGAAAAGACAATTGCCCCTCAGGTGCAGCCATATAAAGTTGATCTGTTTCTTACTAGAGTATTGGGATTTTCTCTGCTTTTAAGATTGGAATCATGGTTAGCAAAGCATGGATCCCTGGGCTTCAGTTCTCCAGCAAAGTGGTGTAGTGCGTGCTTTGTCCATAAACTTAAAAATTTGACTTTGGTACGACTGTTCACATGCTCAAAGGTAAGTAGTACTTTACACACTGTGCTGGATATCTGATGGAGGAGCCATGCCTGATCAGCCCAGTGGAATAATGAACCTGACAGAATTTTCCACACCTACACCTATTAATAGTATTGTGTCTTCCCCATTGTGGATTTCATAAGAGCAGAATTTCTACCTGGAGATAATAAAGTCAGTTCTGTTGCATTGTAGTGCAAACAAAGGCAGTTATAACTACTATTACTGCTGCTGTTTATATTGCAGTGTTATACCCACTGGAGATTCACTTCTCTTCAGCTCTATTCCATCTCACAGCAAAAAGGCACAACCTGCCACACTTTATTATTTCAAATTAAGTGCAACTGTTGAAGTGGTGTTTAGAATTGCACTAGAAGACTCTTTTCCTTTTTCTTCCTCCCTCCTAATTGATTCTGAAAGCAAACAAAGTATCTTCTTAGTATTATATTACAAAGCAAAGGCAGCTGCATTTAGTACTTGTGCAAATTGTTTCTGTAATTGAAACTTGGATTTCAGTCTCCACCCATAGAAAATAAGATCTTTGCTCTCTTACCATGCACACCATGGTATCTGGTACAGATTTTAGTGTCAGTGGGGTTCTTATATCACACTTTTCTTTTACACACTCATGTTGCTTGTTTTATAGTTACATAATGTATCTATATCAAGATTCTCACACAACTACACTCATATATCCAGACATGGCTGGTGTAACTGAACAGACTCAAATGTAACTGGACAGTTACTCAGAAACCTACTGAAAAAAAGATGCTTATACAAATTGTTCTTGTAATAGTTGGCTAAATGTCAAAGCATAAATGGAAGTATTATAGCAGATTTCAGATTCTTTGAAATTTTAAATGAGTGTCTGCTGAACTGTTAAAGAAAAAATAGGGAACAGTGGCATAACAATAGCAAAAGTGTAACAAAAAGTGGATCTCAGTTAAAATAATTCTTTGCATATTTTCCATTAATTTACTTGTGAAAGTTTTTTCTTCTCACAAAGGAAGAAATGTGCTGCTCAAACTCAACAGAGGAAAATAATAAATTCCTTGAGAAAATAAAAGCCTGATGCTAACTGATGAGTAGGCATGGAGCATTCCAAAACATTTTGTAAAACACAGAATAAGATTAAGATTTAAACTTCTTTTTATTTTTCACTGCATGCATTTTCACTTTCTTGAGGAAGGTGAGGCAAGGGAGTAGGGCTGTCAGAGCTGTGTTCCTCTGAGCCTCCGTGCAGCTGAGGCCACAGCAGCATGATGCATGTCAGGTGCTCTTTGCCCTTGTCACCATGTTGGTCTGATGTTGTTCTGATGAGCAAGAGGCCAGTGGGCAGAGCAGAGGCACTGTAGCACAGAGGATCTACTGTCATTAAATGTGGTTTCCAAGAATTACCCACAATTGCATCACAAGAAAAGAAAGATAGAAAATCTCAAAAACATGAGACCCATAACCATAGTACTTCAGTTTTATCTTCTCCCCAGATGGAGGTATGTTTCCAGCAATTTTTCTCCTTCCTTTTCTTCTTGCCAGCTTCCCAAACTGAGGACAAATTTAAATCCAGATGAATCTAATGGCTACCTCCATTTCTTGAATACCACCATTCTTTGCTTTCATGGCAGAACTGACCTTCCTGGTGAATTCAGGGCACTTGTATGCCCTGTTTTTGGATAGCTCCAACATTCTGCTCAGCATAACATTCTGCCAATAATTTTCTGACCTACAGCTACTCAGAAAACAGACACAATGGACCAGTCTTCTTTCCAGTCATTCACTGAGATCAGTAGACTTCCAACTCCCATGTGGAAGGGCTGCTGATAATTAGTAACTTCCTATTCACTTCCTGTTTATAGCAGAGAAGTGTTAGTATTGTGTCAACCCTTAGCAAGTGCTGGCTATTACATTTTCAGCTGGCACGTTGCTTTCACCCTTCAGTTGAAGTCTTGCACCATGTCCATGCCACTGCTGCATAAACAGCACCAGCATTTGATCCCAGGGGATTGATTGGTGGCTGCTCCATAAATGCTTTAAGCAAGCAAAGCTGCCACTGTGCTGCTGTGCACATGCTAGCCCACTGTGTGCCAGACTGGGGCTTCCAGGGATGTCTGTCTGGGTGCTTCTGGAAAGAGCACGTCAGATAAAGTGATGTGAACTGTACCAAAACACTGATGGCAATGCCCCAGGTAGGCACAAAACCCCCAGTATTCTTTGCTGAATAAACACTACTAATTCCTCTCTCCTTTGATTCTCTGTGTGTGGCATTTTCTGTACATGGAAAGCAAGGAGGAAATAGAACAGAGTGGAGGGGGGTGTAGGTGAAGATCTAAATTTTCTGAAAATTGGGAAAAAACAAAGTAGCTTCAAAGATATCAGTGTTCCTCCAGCTCTGCCTAAAGTACCATGTTCAGTATTAGAAGAAGACAACTCTTTGAGCCTTTGCTAGTGATGTAGGTTTGGGTTTTTTTCCCTTTTTAAGCTTGTCTGTCTACAGGAACAGAAATGGTAACATTTGAATTTTCTAAGTTGTTGTAGTTAGTTTTAGTAACATTTATGGAATGTGTATCCTAGACATTTTTCACATTCACTGAACTGCTCAAAATGTCACTACCCACAGATGTAGGAAAATTTGCCCACCAGACCAGCCATCCTGGCTGAATACCAATATCAGAACATCAGCTAGAAAGAATTTGTTATTTTGATTTGGGGAGAATTCTGGCATTTTAAATTTTAAAATATTACTTCACAACTCAAAGACACTGCAGTTGATTGCTCTCTTGCTGTGGTTGGGGATTTTTTAATAATATGTAAAGAGCATTGTATAAATACAGGCACATTTCTTGTTGATGCAATTCCTATTGAGTATTGTTTAAGGAAATGTATTATATTTAAGTTTACTCAGTGATGGACTCTTTCCAGTTCTGATAATTGTTTGGTGTGATAAAATTTCAAAATAATGCAAATGACTTCATGCAATATCATGAAATAATATCTAATGGACTTACTTAATTCAGTTTAGTTGATAATTCAGTATATAGAAGATACTTTCGATTCTATTACAAAAAGCTCAAAACATGTCCATAAAAAACATGGACTCTTTTACAAATACAGCTGCTCATCTTATAATGAGTTTTGACTTTTCCCAGAATTCCTTTAAGAAAGTTTGGGTTTAAAACTTTCAAATTACCTTTAATTTTAAATACTTTCCATTCAGTTCTAGAAACAGATGAGTATCAGTATTTATACCATAGTAGTTACTTGCCTTTTCTGTAATAATGTGATGCTGTGGCAAATAAAAACAGCATCCTGGTGTGCAAGAGGCAGAGCTTAGCCAGCAGGTCAGAGGAGGTGATCCTTCTCTCCTGCTCAGCTCTGCAGAGAGATTTCTGTGGGCTCCCCAGACATGGACACACAGTGGATGAGGTTCAGCAAGGGGTGACAAAGGTCAAGAGGAGAGCCTTCTCCTCTGAGAAGAGGCTGGGGGAGATAGGACCTCTCAGCCTGGAGAAGGCTCAAAGGGGGAATCTTCTTAGGGTGTATAAATACCTGAAGAGAGTGTGTAAAGCAGACAGAGCCAGGCTCTCCTCAGTGGTGCCCAGTGGCAGGAGCAGAGGCAATGAACACAAACTGAAACATGTGTGTGAGGTTCTGTTAGAGTGTCAGGAAACACTGCTTTACTTAGAGAGTGACCAAACACTGGCACAGGATGTACAGAGAGGTTGTGGAGTTTCTGCAAGTGGAGATATTCAAGAGCCAGCTGGAGACAACTCTGGGCAACCAGCTGTAGTTGGCCCTGCTTGTCCAAGGAAGTTGGATAAGGTGGCATCCAGAGATCCTTTTCTATCAGTCTGTGATTCTGTGACAAAAAAGCCTTAAGTTATAGTTTAATATAAAAGGAGATCAGATCTAAGATCAGAAAAGAAATCTAAAGAGAGTAAAATTTAGACTTAACAGATTGAGGGGAGCTTTTCTGTTGACATGTGTCCAGGTTTTGGCAATAAAGAATTGTATAATAGGTAATTATTTTTTTTTTAATACTCTAGTAGAATATGATTCAGAATTGTATCTGAAATGTGATCTTTTGATAATGTTGTTTGATTACCAGTCACTAGACTGAATATGCTATTTTTTTCATTCCTTCTTTCATAAGAAACCAATTGCATCCCCTTGGCATTTATTGCAGATGAACAGGAGAGCTCTGGAGCAATTATTTATACTGTTGAGCTAAAGCGCTATGGTGGGCCCCTTGGAATTACAATCTCTGGTACTGAAGAGCCCTTTGATCCCATAATCATTTCCAGCCTTACAAAAGGAGGATTAGCTGAAAGGTAAGTTGGAAAACAAATGATTTTTAAATATTCTCTCTGTCAAGATAGAGGTTTGTTTTTTTAACCTAAAACCCCTAATTTTCATGGGTAAGCAATTGATTTCTTTATAATTCTCCAAATTAGAGTTTGTAATATTTTTACTGTTGTTTTTTGATCACTGCCAAGCTCCAGGAGCATGGGCAGGATGTACATTAGTATACAAGGCAGAGGACTGTGGTCCCTATCATGGATCACCAAGGAAAACCTGATCAATCAAACAGCTCGGTCACAGAAACATTTTAGCAGCCTTTCAAAACCAACAGCCTTGCACAGTACAATAAGTAAAGGAAGCACTTCATGTGTCCAAGTTTATCTGAACTCATCATCTTATCTGCCACTGCATCTGTATGTGCACCTACATACACCATAGGAAGCATTATCAGAGGAGAAATGCTCCTCATGGTAAGTGACAGATAGAGAATAATGAAAATTATAAGGATTTCTGTCACCTGTTATTTCTCAGATTGGTTGAGTCATTGAAACTTGTGCCCATGGTGGTGGTTTCAGAGACAACTTACAGCACACAAAACATGATATTGTGCACAGACATTTACACAAAAATATTTTCTTTTCTTGATTGACCCATCCTGAAGGCCAGGTTTGTGAAATAGATGGTTGCTTGCTATCACTGGGTTTTTTTTATATTGTGAGACTTAGAAACTTGACTCATTTTAGGACTTACTAAGCTGTCTGAGATTGCTCATGAGCAGGTGGGCTGCAGTGAATATCATCCACAGGTGATTAACTCAGCTGTCACAGTAACACAGAAATCCACATCATGCCTCAGCTCTGCTATTGTCACTACAACAAAGGTGACTTGCTTTAAGTGTCTCTAACAAAAGAATTACTCCATGACACAGCAATAAAAGCAAAATAAAAGGAAGAAAGGGAGATGGGACTTTCATGCTCCAAAATGCCAAGAAATTGCCTTTGTTGCCTTTTACACTCTCTTCTCAATGTTTTACTTCTCTCTCTTATTGTAGGACTGGGGCAATTCACATAGGAGACAGAATTCTAGCAATAAATAGTAGCAGTCTGAAAGGAAAACCTTTGAGTGAAGCCATTCATTTATTACAGATGGCAGGAGAAACTGTCACCTTGAAAATCAAGAAGCAAACAGATGGTGAGTGTGGCCAAGGGTACCATCCATGATGGTTAATGCATGTGTTATTGCAGATTAACAAGCGTTTAGGCCACCCATGGAAAAGCTTTGTGTCAGGAGTAAAAACCAGATTCTCAGAGCTGCAGCAAAGCAAGGATCAACACCTCTTTTTATATAATCCTATTCAGCTACCAGTCCCAAGAAATTTTCTGTGCCTGTGGGTCACGTGAGTGAACTGAGCGATGCTGAAGATGAAAGCTCTGCTGCACAGAAATCTGGCAAGCTCTCGGACATCTATTCCACTACAGTCCCAAGTGTTGACAGCGCAGTGGAGTCATGGGATGGCTCTGGTATTGACACCAGCTTTGGAAATCAAGGTACTGTCAAAAATACAATCCACATTTAAAGCAGGAATTATTGCCTTCATGGTTGACCTTCCTTTGCCCTAAGTAGAACTTTTCATCTGTACTAACTTTTAACCCTGCACTTTATAATGTGCTGCTGTCTCATTATGACCACACACCTTGGCAGGCAGCATGATTTCTTGCACTTGGCTGGCCTCAGATTCATTCTTTCATGAGGATGTGATGTGTTACAAAGCATTTATCAATACATTAACGGGCTTTTGTTAGCTTTACTGACATCTGTATAGCTTGGTCCATAGCTCATCCACAACTAAATGAGTTTATCCTTCAAGTACAGATCAATGCAAGGCACAGAACACTCTGGAGATGTTCATGAATTTGATGCCCATATGCATTAATTTTTAAATGACAACAGATTTATTATAAACTGCTGAAGGGCAACATTAGTCACTGCCTATGATTTGTAAATCTTTTGCTTCTTCCTCATTCCTGCAGTATTAACATCTAACTTTCAGCTGTCAAAAACAATCATTCTATTTAAAAATGTGATCTTCCATAATGAGAATTTTTTTCACCTCTCTGTAACTATTGTTTCGTGTAGGATTTTCAAATAATTTCAGTTTGTAATACATTTATTTAGGCAGTGAAGGATATAGACGTTTTGTAATATTATTGATAACAAGAAAAATAAGTTACACACAACTTCAGTTGGTTTTTTTTAATTCTTTTAAAAATGTTTCTTTCCATAGTAAACCATGTATTCCCATTACCTGGGAGATATTTGGACAGATAGGTCCTTACCTCAAATAATTTTTTCACTGGAGTTAGAATTTGGATTTATTTGACCCTTTTCCTTAACTGTGTTGGTCAGATTATCAAAACAAGTTATATTAGATTTTCTTCTGATATTTTTAAGTTGTAAGGAGAAGTGTCAGAATGGTAATTCTCATTTTCTGGATGAATTGAAGATATCTGGAGCAAATTGTTCAGCTGTGGAAAGGATTGAGGCCCAGAATGCTTTCCAAAGTCCTGATGATTCAGATGCTGTGCCAAAGCTGAACCAGTATCTCAAAGAGGATTTTTTTTAACTCCCTTGAAAAAAATCTGCCCAGACTTGGCTGGATACATGGCACCTCTGCTAAACAGCCTGAGTGCAAACAGATTTGTGGCTTTATCCCTTGGTGTTGTGGTGGCTCCCATTTCTATTCAAGTTCAATCTGTCCTGACCCATGAAGCTGAGTTTGGCTTTTCTTCAAACCTTTCTTGGCAATATGCACAGACTAAGCAAATTGAGGAGTTTGGGGGATGTTTCTGGAGCACCAGATAATGCTTTATCCTATTAATTACCAATTTAATTCTGGTGAGCTGTCTTTTCTCTCCTTGAATCAATACCCCATTTTGTACCTTTGTCTTATGTGTCTGCCTTACTAATCCAGAGCCTTCACCACACAGCAGTCACATCTTCCCAACCAATACCTTCCCTAGAATCTGGGACTGTGTTAGTATCTGCCAGTTTGCTGGAAAGCACTCACAGCTCTGCAGTTACACAGCATTTGAGGGAGACAGGTCTAGACTGATTTATGGAAGCAAATTACCCTCTTTAGAGGGGCAGCAGCAGTCACAGTACTCATCAACAAAACAGTACTTCCTAATCCAATATGCACATCAAAAAACACCAACTGTAGAGCCAAAGAAGCAATATATCAAGGTGAAGTATATTACATATATATGCTATATATATAGATATGTATGTGTGTGTGTGCTTATTTACATACATACATGCACACACATATATACATATACATATACACATATACACATATACACATATATACATATATACATATATACATATAAAATGTGTATTATCAGTTCCACCATAATGGATTTTGCTTACAAGCATGAGCTTGTGACCCCTTGTGTTCTTCTTGATACATCACTTGGAAACTGCTTCCTACTTGGAATTCAAATGACACCTGGTTTCAGTTTAAATACTATTGAAGTAATACCTGCTTTGCTAGTATGATAAAGCACCCAGAAATAAACTCTGCAGGTATAAAAACCATCTGATGTCACTTACACGGCCTTGAGACACTTAGAAATGGGTGATAAAGATGGTGTATATTGGTGCTGGGAATGTCTGCCCATTGTGAGACAGGCCTTTCCTGAGCTCTCAGAGCCCTAGCAAAAGGGGGCATGAAAAGCCAAGTTCATTGGATTTTTTAATACATCTTTGGAAACTTTTTTCAATACATCTGAAGCAGTTTTTTTAATAATTTAGCTTTAATATTGGGCATGTTGCATATGACCATGTTGACACGTATTTAACACATCCATGATTATTTCACTGTTGATCAGAATAGGATGTCGAATTGGAAACTGATAAATTGTGGCAGTATCTAGAATTAAATGTAGAAGCAGCTGAGACAGAAACAGTAGGAGAACAGTGTTAGATATATTTAAGATTCTGCTTTCAGTGGACATTCACAAAAGAAGCTCTAGAGCACACCTAGTTCCAGCCATAATCTAGGCTAAATAATCTGCCAACAGAAAAAAAATAAAGTAACAATGACAAATTCAACAGTTCTTGAGAACCCCGCTTCAGAGGTGTGCTTTCCCATCATTTCAGCATATGCATTGCTGTAAAATAGTAATTCATCATTTTAGGACACACCTATCAGGCTTCAGGATACAACTTCAATGCCTATGAATGGAGGAGTCCCAAGCAGGCCAGTTTGTCCCCGCCAGGCAAACCTCGGAATCAGGCATTCCACGATGCAGGGCTGAGCGACGACGAATGGGATCGACCTGCAGCAAGCACGTAAGTTCCCATACAACTTTCGCTTCTCTGGTTTGCAGCTGCAGCACCTCAAAAATAAACACTCACTGTCTTGAAAGAAATTATGTTTTTCTAATGAATTATAGCACCTCTTCCTTTAAACATGAGATACAGTACACTCCATGAAACTTACTGGGGTGGATTAGTGGTTTTATAGAGGATTATGATGCCAAAACCAAGACATTTATTTATTTCAAGTTACTTCAGCCAACAAAACATAGCATTTATCCCTTAAGAATAAACAAACAAAAAAATTAGGGCATTTCCCTGGGCAAGTTTCAGAAAAAATCTGATGTGTTTTCCACTCCACAAAAATAAACCTACAGATAATGTGGCTAAAGACAACTGGTGTGTTAATCTTTTGTCTTCTGTGAAAAATCTTTTTGGTTTGGGCAAAGAAGCACAAATTACAGTCTTCATCTACAAATACTTGAGACATTCACATTCAGTAGGAGTAAAAAGTGATCCAGGTACAAATATCTTGTCCAAACTATTGGTATTTTGCCATGCATTTATTCCTCCTCTTCTGAGAAGTAAATCTCTTTTTCAGTTAATTTCTCTGCAGACAAAAGAACTTCCTGAGGAAAAAATTTTTACTTCACAATTCCTGGAGGTAGTGAAAGACCCAAACATCTCTCATTTTCTATTCTAAGTTATCTTTTCTTTTGGATTTGTTAGTGGATCCACTGCAGAGACTTGGGTAATTTCTGCCAATGAACAGTTCTTACTCAGATGTGGGAAGACAGGCATCACAGTAAAGAGATTTCTGTGCTCTTTGCACCTACCCTCAGAAACTGCAGACATGCATGTCCTTCAATACACTTTCTTGGTGTGCCAGCACAGTGAGCCTGAAATCCCAGTCTGTGAAAAATTAAAGTTGAGTACTGAAAAAAACATTCCTGGTGCCTGTATAAATATACTACGTAAGGAAATCCATGAGATCTAGTTTGTAACCTTTGAAATACAAATCAAGGCAAAGTTTAGATGCTGCTTTCAGATTCTGAATGACAAACCCTCTGATACAGCCCACAGCTTTGTGGCATTTTTGTCTGGAGACAAGCCTGGTGGGGTGACAGCTAAGATAGGAGTGAATTCTCAGCCCATATCCAGCTCCTTTGGTCCCTACTGCAGAAGCACACTGGCAGTTTTCATAGGCTAGTAGTGTTTAATAAAGGAAATTAGATAGTTTTCTTCATACTGCCCATTTTCTTTTTAGTTTAATAGGGTCTTTATCCACAGTTAGAGCCCATATTTTGTTTCTCAAATGAGATGCAGCCATGGATTCCAGAACACCTACTGTTTTGCAGCTGTGTAAGTAATGGGCTGAAAAAGTTGATGAGCAGTGAATCGGGGAGCTGTATTGTAAAATAAAGAATCTTCTAAATGAAAAGCATGTGTTGTATTACCATTTTAAAGCACTGTGCAGCCAAAGGTATGCACATTAGAGTCTTGTTCAGCTTATCAATGTGACTTACACCTGAGAGAACCTAAAATAATGGTTACTTTTATGCTGTATCTGTAAAATGGATGGTGCCACATCTGATGGTGTTGCCATCCCAAGTGCTGGAGTATCTGAGAAGGTTATGCCTGTTCTTCAAGCCTGTTACAGGAATCCCCAGGGAAAAAACTCTTCTCTTGTAGTTCTAGCTAAACAACTTCTCTTCCTCTCTAGCTCTAGAAAGTAACTTTTTCTTACCTTTGTTTTGTGTAGCACAGCTTCCAAGAATATGTGGCAACAGAAGGAGACTGAGACATTGGGAGAGAATCAAGAAAACCATTTAAAGCAAACATCTGTAGAAAGATCAGGTGGAGAGAGCATCAGGAGTGTGAAGAAAGAGGGAAAGATGTGGAAAGGTGCCTCTGGAGGGCAAAGGAAAGGTGGGGGACAGCTGGAAGAGTGGAATACTTCCAGGTAGGAAACCAAAAAGTGCACGAAAGTGAAATCCAGCTGGGCTGAGGCAGAGGTGGGGGTGGGAGGTGTGAGAAGACAGGGGAAGAAAGGAAAAACAGTTGAAATGAGAAAAACAGGGCAAAAGCAGAAAACACCACATTAACTTGCTGTTGATGGACAAGGAAATTTCAGTGGGCAAGCAAATGAAACCAGAGAGCTTAAACCACTCTCTAGCCTGGTGTATACCTATCACTGGTAGGTAGGACAAGTCTGGTGTAGTTCCTGCTCCAGAGAAAATGTTTAACACATTAAAATATCAATGCTTATGGGAATGAGTCTGCCAGATCCAAGAACCTCCTGATTAAAAAGCTAAAAGTCACAAAGATTTTTTCTCTCATATGGCAGTAAGAACTGAATCATAGACACCCTTGTTTTCATTATCTGTCCTACTGCCTTGCCTTCAGACTTTTTATGCATCTGAATTTCTGACGGCTCTTTAAATAAGCATCAGAAAAACAAATATGTTCATTATGGTCACAAACAATATTTCATATGTCTTAAAATCAAACTTTCAGATTAGAAAGTTTTTTTAGATTAAAAAAAAAAAATCTAGATAAATTATTTTGGTACCTCTTTTGGTTTTTTGATGTAGTAGCTCAGCTACAAATTACTCATGTGGCTGTAATGAAGATGCAAAAGTTGAGATTTCACACACCAGGAGACAAGACTCAGGGTAAAAGCAAAAGAGGAGAGGAGAGCTGAAAAAGAAATAGCTTCAACTGAGAAGTCCAGACATAGAAGCATCATGATTTTATATTTCACAGAAGTCAGAGAAGAGATGGACCTCCAGTTCTAGGAAATCCAGGTTTTGCTGTCACAGACAATTGCCTCAAATTATCTTGTTCATTAGCTTAAGTTCCATTTGATATCATTAATGTGCAATATAGCAAGAGATATTGGAATAGATAAATTAGTCTACATTCAATATTGGCTATTGAAAGAACTACATAGATTTATTGAAAAAGTTCATTTCAGAAATCAAGGATCTGTCTAAAATCATGTTTTAAATACTTTCTTGTCTTGCCTGGGAGGAATTGCATCTGTGATCTGAGTAGGTATTCCTGCCATTGCTGTATCTATTGCAATATCTTAGAAGAGACACTGATGCTAGGTGGAGAATCATTGCAATAAGAGATTGAAATGGCTGGCCATTGTCTGCTTGACTGATTGTAGCTGTAAGAAAGCATCTCTGAGGCAGAGTATCATGTGTGTGAAGCATTCAAGCTGTCCTCCCTTGTGCTGGACAATTCTCCTATTTAAAAGCTACTGTGTAAACAGAATTACATTCACGCTATTCTCAGTAATACATTGTTTGTCAAGCAAGGCCTCAGATGCTTCCATAATAGTGTCTGCTCTGTTTATGTGCTGTTAAAGCACCACTAGCTGCAGTCCATGGGCAGCTGCTCCAAAGTAACAGCTTGCTGCCACCAAAAGGGCGAATTGTCACTTTCCTCCCTCATCCTTCTTCCCCTGTGCCTTTCACATAACCAGCCCTCTCCCATGCAGCAGCTCTGATGCTTGTGTGAATCTTTACTGAGCTGCTTCCCCTTGCTGAGACAGGAAAACCTCCTGCTTCCCTCCCTGTATACACGCATAGACTGGAAAGGTGTTGCTTTGGGCTGTGTCACTGCAGCCCAGAGTTGTGGTTTTTATCAGACCCCACTTGCTGAGCAACTTCCCTAAGCATCACTGTCACCAACATATGCTCAAGAGTGCTTTTAATAAGGCCTTGGTGCATCTATGAAACACCAGAGACCTAAGTTTCCATGCAAGACAGTGGCATCCCTGAAAGTTTCTCTGTTTATGTAAGAAATTATTGGAGCAGTTTATATTATGGTGATCAGGTGGGCTTAAACTGATAAATGCAGCTTAGGCTGAAGGAATCAGGTAAAAAGCACCACCAAGCCTCTTTTGCAAAATGTTGTTTGCAAAAAAAAAGAGGACTCTTTCCATATTGCCTGGGAGAAGTCTGTGAGCTTGAAAGGTTTTATTGCAAATACTTGTTGCACGGAGCAGCTCCACATACAGCTACTGGTTGATTCATTAGTTTTCATAGGGAGGTTCCGGTTTCAATCCAGTAAAAATGTGTATTGAACTGTTCTTGGAATCCATTTCTCTCCTTACTGAACAACTCGCTGCTCAGATCCTGCCAGCTGCTAGTGACTGCCAGGTTATGAGAAGGCTTGTCTGTCATGTGCTCTGCATGTCCATCCGGCCTCTCCTGATCAGCGACTCTTCCCCACTCTCCTGCATAACCTTCTGTCATTCAACTTGCAGTCTGTGGCAAGGCACGTGTGTAATATATATATATTTTAGAGGGGGGAAAAAGTCCACATTTTTTTAACTTCTCATTGTAAATCTAGCTTCACAGGTCCCCATGATAACACCGAGGCTGACCAGGAGGAAAATTTCTGGTCTCAGGCTCTGGAGGATTTAGAGACCTGTGGCCAGTCAGGAATTCTGAGGGAACTAGAGGTAGAACAATCTTAACCTTTCTTTCCAATTATAGAGAAATATAATGGTTTTGGTTTGGTTTACATTCATTTTATTTTCTCCTTTTTTCTTTTAAGTTGCACTAATCACACCGATTCATTTAAAAGCTTTAACCCCTCTCCACAGGACAAGGCTGACAGGCGTCTGTGTTTGAGAAACATGACTCTCTTGGTACCTACCCTTTACCTTTATATTTTTGCTTGTGCAGCTGCCTCCCCTGCCCCTAACCAGAGCTGTTTTCTTTTGTGCAATGCAACCAAAATTCTATAAACATGTTCACCCCAGTGCTTTTGACTTGCAGCTTCTGCTGTGCATAACCATCAATGCTGTCTGTACAGGCAGCAAATGGCACAGAACTTCTAAGTGGGCATAACCTTCCTGCAGCAATACATTCCATTCTCTGACAGACGCTTCATGCAGCTTTTCTTAGCATGTTGTAGGTTGTCTTTTAAATTGCAACTTAATTTGATTAAGATGAACATAAAAGAAAATCAGCTTTTCAAAATGTTTACCTATAATCACACCACTCTGAAAGAAAAAGAAGCTGCCAATGTGAGAAATGTTCATTAGACAGCAATTTGTTCACCATGTAACAAATTTTCATATTTCATCCTTAAGTTCACTACAAATCTAACCATGCTTTGTGTTAGATTGTGCTGAGGGCACACTGGGGGAAGAAAACAGACACAGAGTAACTTGGGAGTCTTTAATTTGCTAATCACCTTTTCTCTAAGTTATCTAATCAGAGCAATTACCATTATACTGCCAATTGAAACTACAGAATGAAAGGTCCTAAAATATTTTCTTTTATGTTCTTTTAAATTCCTGGAGCTGCAAAACTGGCAGAATCTCATTTTCATTTTTATGTTATATAAAGTCCTTTAGCAGCCAGGAGGAATATGAATGGCGTAACTGGGTGAAAGTTTTTCAGTCCAGATTAATTTACTTCCTCAGATTTATGGCTTTTGTATTGCATGTATGGGTAGCAAAATGTGATTCTCATATATTTGTTATAGAAAACCAGAGAAATATAGGAGAAAATGTTATACTGGCTTAATTCTACAGTTAGATATGATTCACTACTGCAGGCTTCTCTTGCAGTTTTCAGTATTCAGTGCATAATAAAAGGATATGGAAATAGATAATTCCAAAAGGGAAATAGGTCATCCATGCTGTCCAGAATTCAGTTACTTCAACACACTGAATTTTCCTCAGTCTTTCACAAAAGGGAAATTCAGAACTGTAGATGTACCATTTATAGCACTGCCTCGTTGCACAACCCCCAGCTCTGAAAAGAAAGCCAGACTCATTCTGTGTGACAGGATGCTGAGAGTGGCCATGCCTCTACTTTATGAAGTGCCATGGCGTAGTCAAGGACTCCTTATCATTTTTCATTTCAAGGTCTTCAGCCAAAGAGCAAAGAAGGCTGTTGTTTGCCAAGTCCTCTGGCTGCTTTTGCTCCATCAGGCAGTAATATCAGTCATTACTGAGCACAGAAGAGTGTTATGGCTTCAATCCATTATCTCATAGTGAAAGTAATGCTGGAGCTGTGAGAAGGAGGGATGACAGACATGCTCACCAGAGTTATAGACAAACATTTATTTGTCTGTTTTGCCCTTATTTTTTACTTTCCCTATTCAAGCAGGCTGTCTGTGTCCAGTCCCTGTCAGAGTTCAGGTTATGGTCTTTAAATTTCCCTTTCCAGTTGTCCATCAGAAGAGATAATAAATAGGAAATTCAGCTCACCCTGTCCCCGCAGTGCCAAAGTGCATATGCCTCCCATTCCCCAGAGCAGAAGAACTTCCCCAAAGGAGAAGGCTCCTTGCTGTGCATGGATGCTTTTCAAGTTCAGTCTGTTCCACCCACTGGGCGAGGTGATTCCCATCATCTTCTTTCATGATTTCACCCTCCATGTATTCTTGCATCTAAAACAAAAGGCTGTCTTTTACTGAGATTAAAACCAGCAGTGAGACCAGGGCCAGTATTAATGGTGAGCCAAGGCAGTGTGCATGTCATACAGAGTTTCTTTCCAGGCAGTGAGCTCACCTTCCCTGAGCCTGGGGTAGTACCCAGGCACTCTGCCCATGCTGGCTCTAGAGCTACCTACATATTCTGCTGACTCACATTTTTTTACCTTGCACACACAGTCTGAATTGCAAATGCCTTCCTGTAGTTCCAATTCCAACAAATGCAATTATGCCACAACTTGGATGTTGTTTTATTTATGTGTAAAATATTTTTAAAATAAGCAATTACTCTACATACTCTTCAGTCTGCCAGGGGACTGGCTTACAAGCATAGCCATTCTGGTGCTCAGTATTTTAGTTTGAAATGCCATCTGAAAACTTTTGCCCAAAGGGTTCATATATTGTTATTGTGTTTTGTTGTGGTCCTTTATTTTATAGTGACTTGCAAGCAGATTGAACATCTATCCTCTTGCCTTTTGCTGTGCCCTGAGTGATTGTGTTCTAACAAAGAATAGAGGTGTTTTTCCTACTGCTATGAATTAACCACTTACTTCACCCACATTCTCTTCTACAAATTAACCTGTTCATTAATGCTCTAGGCCACAATCATGTCAGGAAGTACAATGAGTTTGAATCATGAAAACCCACAACCTCGTAACCAGCTGGGAAGACAAGCCAGCTTCCAGGAAAGAAGTTCTGTAAGGCCACATTACAGTCAAGCTACTCGTAGCAACACATTGCCTTCAGATGTGGGGAGAAAGTCCATGGTTCTGAGAAAATTTAAGCAAGAAATGAAAGAAATCATGTCACCAACTCCCGTGGAGTTACACAAGGTCTGTAATTTTTCTTCTGACAGCTTTGAAATAATATATTCAGCACAGGAACTCTAATTATATGGCAACACAGTAAGCACTTTTTATAATGACTCCACAGATGTAATTTGGGGGCCATGCATATTAGTTCTTACAAACACATTAATGATAGATCCTTGTGGGGGAAAACAAATGAATAAGATGCATCCTTGTCTACTATTTCATTTTACAATAAATCCTCAAAAGGCACTGCTCTTTTGAAGGGAGCATCCGCTGGTAATTTGAATTGACAGGACCAATAACTCTCCTTTGCAAAATGTGTTCATTAAGAAATCAAAGTTTAATTTCTAGAAAATACATTTCTTCAGGAAATTACTCAGGAGGTTTTGGGGCTCCCATAAGTCCTTTTTTAAATTAACACTCATTTTCAATCAAATACAAGAGATTCGATGTACATAATATAGAATGTTATTTCCAATTAGGTATTGCTTCTTTTCTCTTTAAAATCCCTTTGGTGTAAAAAGGATAAATAATCTTCAGACTATGCAGCTTTTCACTGCTCAAGATGGTTGAAGTCACAAGGTGACACGGAGGTGGCTCTGCACTCCAAGCAAGTACTAGATAAAGTATCTTTGGATATGCACAGCAAACACCCAGCCACTTTAGGTCTCAAGTCCAGTGGGGCCATAAGAGCAGCCAGTTTCCAGAACTTTGAGGAATGTTATAATGCTGTTCTCCCTGATGAGAATGGGCACCCTATTTCCTGCACCCATCTTCCTCTTAAAGGTCTGAGATCTTTCCAGGAAGGAGGCAGAACATAGAAGAATTTCATTCATATGTCATCTGGTCATTCTCAAGAGATTTGGTTTGGTTTCTAGTCCCTGTGGATTTACCTCACTTTAGTCTGTAGTTCAGCTGAGTTCAGCAACATAAAGACTTGCTGAGTGTAGGCTAAATGAGTGTTTATAGAAGGTGGTAGAGTTCTGATCTAATATATGGTAAATTAATTAATTGCTGGTGTATATGATCAATAAAGATGAGTTGTAGTAGTTTAAAACTATTCCTGTTTCCAGCTTGATGTGACCAGTGGAGTTAGGTACTGTGCTCAGTTTTTCAGTGGTGAATAAATGCAAAATATAAAACCAAAGTATACCAGTAGGTATATTCCTATATATAGTGTCACAGTGTGCACACATTCAACAAAGGCAAAGTTCTGGATTACAAAGCCAGCCTTTCATGTTAATGAGTCAGTGGTATTATGTGATAGTAACTAGCTGTTAGAGTCCTGAGCAGCACAAATAACCTGTCCACGAGCTTTCTCTTGCTTCAGCTGACTATTTTTAAGATTGCTTTGACCTTTCCTTTGAGTAATTTCCAGACTTTGTTCAGACAACATACCCAGTTTTTCCTGTCTGCTGAAGTGATGCTGAGTTTGCTTTTACTGTCTGTTCTGTCACCCAGAAAAGAGTAATTTCCTCTCTAAAAATCTAAACATTGAACCTGAACCGAGGATTTTCCAAATCCTTACAGTCATTCAAGAAAAACAGAACTAGTGACTGGATCTTATGGTCTGATTCCCCAAAGTGAGGTTATACCCCTGTGACACATGCAGGTTAGCCCAGGCAGCACGGACTGCTTTTTATCTGAACAAGTTCTTGCTAGTTAGCTTTCCTACTCGTTCTTGTGTAGCAGTGTGCCTGCTACCTTCTCCCATGTATTCATGTTTTCATTTTAGTGTTAGACCTCTAATTTAACTCTAATAACCTGTTCCTTTGGACAGCTTGTCCAATCAGAGTTTTCCAAAAGAGCTGCAATGCCATGGGAATGACTTCACTGTCAGGGAAAAGCCTTGGTTGAAGTCTTTTTCATGCATCCTCTTGCTGGCAACGTGTTCTGCCTTCTGCAGGCAAACGTCTTAATTAGCTGGGCCACTGAAAAATAAGAATATTTGGAAAACTGTGATGGTATGGGCAGTTTTGAGATACAGGCTAAGACATAGTTTGTCTAAGACCTCACTCAGCAGATTCTCCAGAATGTGCTTGCCCACGTGCTGCTGAGCTTCCCCAGTTCCATGGGCAGGGCAGGGCAGGTGCTTTTGTTGTGTGTGTCAGTGTGATGAGTCTGCATCCCTGCTGGGGCAGGGGCTGTGTGCCCACAGAGCTCACTCTGCAGCAAGGTAACCTGAATTCTTCACTGCTCTTTCTTTCTGCATTGCATTCACCAGCGGTGCACTTGAACTGTCTTTGTCCTGAGCAAACTAGGATTGAGATAAGTGTCCTACAGATCTCTTCAAACATTCGTTCTGGATGGTTTAATAACATTTAATTTAGCTGGATAGTGTATTGCTATATCAGTACCCAAATTTAATGAATGCCTTTAATGATTTTATCTGCTTAGATAATAATATAGATTAACATTTTCCTAAAAATCATAGCAGACCATTTTTTAGAAGTTTCATAGAGCACACATTCCTCTGAGAGCAAAAATATGCACTAAGATCAGATAATTTTTCAATATTATTATTGCAAGTAGTCATTAACCTAAAATTACAGTCAGTTAAAATATCTCAATAGCTGATCTGTGCAAGATGTATGAATTTAAATTAAGCATTTTCCCATATATTTGAGAGGGAGAAGAGGCATAGGCACAGACTCAAAATGTATAAGCTTGTGTTTAAAATTTGTAACTATTTAATTGCTTATGAAATATGAATTAAATTTCCAAATCGACTTTCTTTTTCCCTTAGGCTCCTGAAGTAAATTTAAAAGACTAACAAATCACCCAAATGGAGATTTTGCTATTGAGATCAGACCTTCCAAAGAGTTGTGATCAGCAGTACAGATAAACCAGCATGATTTAGGTGTTGTGTGAATAGTCTGAAGTTTTATTCCCTTCAGAGAGGGCTGCTGCAAATCAAGATGAGGAGCCTATGGTAGGGCTTTGTCCATACCCATTATTAAATAGAAATTGAGTATTTCAGATAGCAGAGCTTTTATCAGAGATTCTCTTTGAAGAATATATGTTGCCCTAGGAAGAATTAACCCCAAAATTATAACCTCTAATACAAAAGAAAGTTGTCTGCAGATGACTTCCATCTGAAAAATGTGACAGCTGTCAAACATGCAACAAAGCTAAATTGCTGCCTCATCCCTGAAGCCAGCATCAGCTTCTTTAAGTTCCGAGCTCCTGGTAAACACAGCAAAGGTCAAGAGAAGGTAGCCATAAAGGAAGCAGTTTGTAAAAATCCAGAATCTCTAGATCTGAATAACAACAAACATCAGAAAATATTTTGAAATGTGTAAGTTGTGACTTACAAAAGACTTTGGATGACCATTCCCAAGGTCTGTGCCCCTCCCTGTCCCCTGCCTTGCCTGCTCCATTGCAGTAACTTCCCACTGACTCTCTACAGTAAAACTCCCCTTCCACGCCCTTTATCATTTGAAATGCTCCATTTTTTGTTTCACAAGGTGGGCATGAAGTAGCATGTGCATTACTACAGACAAGATACAAGTTAAGGTGAGCTACTGTGTAATGGCTCTTCCCATAGACTTGTAATTGTATGTGTTCTGTTGGCTGATAGTTCATTCACTAAAAACAGGGGAAAAAGCAACACTATCATAGAACATACGAATGGGAGCACCATCCATGGTGAGTTAATTCTCCACTGCAGTTTGGCTTTGAGAAGGTCTTGAGTGTAATAGTGTCCAGCTTGTGATCTGAAACTTAAAGAAAGATGTTGACCACCATGTTGACAGGGTCCAGAGAAAAACAAGCCTTATTTTACATCACTGCAGAGAAAGACAGAAAAAAAGTGATCTTGTTCTTTGTGGATGGCAACAGGCTTAAGCCTCAGCAAGGGTGATTTAGTTTAGACCCAAGGAAAACATTGGAAGGACTGGAAGGGATTACTTCAGTAAACTTTGGGGTCTCAATCACTGGAGATCTGAAAAACCGAGACAGATAAATGTATCTCTGAAATGGTTTAGGTGCAGTTGATCTTGTCTTAGGACAAGAATGCAGTCTAGATGACTTCAGAGAGTCCCTTGTTTCACATGCTTTTCTAGTTATCTGGGGCTGGATCCAGCTCCATTTGACTCCAGTGCCTGAAGAAGGGGTAAAGGAGTAAGTGGAAAAGGGAAGAAAAATCGTGCCACCAGTGCTAGAACAGGACAGAATATTTCAAGTCTTCTTCTCCTAGGCATGGTATCCCCTTTTTGCATTAACTTTTCAAGGCTTCTTTAAGAAGCTGTTAACTTAAAGCACTTCTGTCCTTTGTGATGATGAGGATAAAAAAGTGACTTTGCTAGAAGATACTTTGGTCTAGAAGGGTCTTGGTCCAGAGCTAGTTATTTCTAATTTCTTCCAGGAAGTGCACACAAATCTGTGTAAAATATATCTCAGTAAAATAAATCTCCTTGCTTTTTTTTCTGATGGTCTAACAGCACTTTCGTAGGAGCTTCAAACACACTTTTATCAAAGCCATGTTAAACATGCTATGATATCACAAAGAAAAGCTTCTGTTCATACCAAATTATTAAAATTTCCCTGAGTCCTGTTGATATAGCACCTGTTGATACAAATTAAAATAATTCTGTGATGAATTATTGTGAATTTGCAGATAGGTTTTTCCAGTAGCTGAAATGCCTATTAAAGTTCATGCAGGAATGGAGGACATATGATAGGTTCAGCAAGAAGATATCTTGGGGGAGGATGGGGAAAAGAAGGCAAAAAACTTAAATACCACAGTCCCTACAAAGTATGAAATGACAGCTCATACCCAAAAATGTCACTGGCAGGAAGAAAACCTTTAGCAAGTCAAGAAAAATGCCGAGAGCAGGAAAGAAACCCAAATCCCAAATCCTTTACTCCTCTTTTGAGACAACCTGGTCTGTTCTGGCATACCTTTTCACACTGGCAATTAAGACAGCAGCTCAGCTGCTCTCTGAAGGCAGCACCAACCAGTGCTGTGCCTCAGCACCCTTCTGTGAAATACTGGCCAAGTCCTCAGCTTGCTTTGAGCATGACACTAGACTAGAGACTTCCCAAAGTCCCCTTCAGTTCAAATGATTCCACAATTCAGAAACATCAGGAAGGAATTCAGAGGCTGGTGCACACACAAGGATGCAACACATGGAATATTATTTGTACAAAGTCATTATAAAATTTTGGAACAGTTAATGTTGCCATTTTTATCAGCCAAGGTATGATAAAACCAGTGCATTTTGAATTCAAGGTGATACAAGCTACAGCAGTAAAAATACAGGTCTGACTGTGCAACTGTATCTATGCACTGGCACACCACTCACACAATTTACTTGCATAGGTCAGCACCCCTGATGTGAGGAGGACCAAGGAAAAATCTAAGCATGCCACTTTCCCACAAAGAAGTCTCTATCTGTCAAATCACAGAACTATCTGTGAAGACTTGTCTTCTGAACACCTGAAAAACCTTCTCTTAACTATTTCATTATCTTCTATTTCCTGCTTTTGAACGACCACCTCATGGTTACGTAACTGTAATAACACTGCCTGCAAGCTTTTTCAGAAGGAGCCTTATTTGTACTTCCTTAAAAGATTGCATTATAACTCTTATACTGAGCACTTCTGAGGTGAGGCTTTACAGGGTGGACCACTGCCTGGTCTAGACACTAGATTACACTGACAATGGTCTTTATTCCCTTGACTGCAAGACACAACACCAATTGTTTGATTGAGGCCAGGTCTTCATACTTAAAGCAAAACTAAGCCTTATCTTGTACTCAGATCCTGGCAGCTAGAGAACAGAGAAATAAAACACTAAGAATCAAAAAGTGACACCAGAGAAGGTGGGCTAAATACCACAGCTGACAAGCAGAAGTGAAAAGGGCTGTCTATTTACAAAAGGATAAGGTGGCATCTGAGAATATTAACATAATATCAAAATGAGGACAACTTTAATACTGTAAGTACCCAAGAGTAGGTAAGTGATCTCTCTAATGTGAAAAAAAAAAATGTCACCAAAGCCATCCTAGTAAGAAAACCTGACTCATGCTTGTAGAAATGGGGACAAAGTTTTTTTCTTTCTCATCACATCACCTCTCCTCCACAGGTAACTTTGTACAAGGACTCTGATGGAGAAGACTTTGGGTTCAGTGTCTCAGATGGTTTATTGGAAAAAGGAGTGTACGTTAAAAACATTAGACCAGCGGGCCCTGGTGATCTGGGAGGTTTAAAACCATATGACAGACTTTTGATCTGGGAGGTTTAAAACCATATGACAGACTTTTACAGGTAATGTTTCTGACACTGTGCAGGTTCAGCATGAAGGGACGTGACATACAGATTACTTTGTAAAAAGGTTTATAAGCACACTGCGGGGTATTTGGGTATGCATATCTGGAGAGGTGATTGTGGAGAAATGCAGTTTTGCAGCCTTGTTACTTGGAACAGCCCTGTAACCTACACTGCTTATTATAAATAAAGAGCACCAGTTTGTTTGTATTTCTGCTGGGAAGGGATGTGTGTAGGAAGGATGATGTGATCAGGAAGGACATTTTATAACTCCAAAGAAGACATACAAATGCTCACTATGAAGCTGGAATTTCCCACAGCATTTCCAGACAGATTTTTCTTTCTTTCTTTCCTTGATACAGACGTGAGAATTATTTCTTGTGTTTAATCCAAGTGTTGACTGACACAGTTGGAATTATGTAATACTCAGCACCACACTTACCACAGCGCCAAGACGGACTCTGATGAAAAAGCCAAATTAATTCTCAACTAGCCTAATAAAATACTTTATATAAATTTATATATATTAGGTGAAACCAGAGAAGACTTGAACTGAACTGAAATTTCAGATGTGTTCTACTGCATTTAAATTGATGAACACCATGAAAGACAGAGAAACTATGTGCTGTTAAATGTCATTATTGGAGTGAGCATTGTGAAAGCTGGCAACAGCCAGCACCAGTGTAAATATCCCCTTCAGCTACATTCTGTTTAAAAGTGAGTAGAAAACTTAACTGATGTCTTCAGACTAGACATCACAGTTAAACAGTCTTATATTGTGCAGTTCTCTACTTAGAATAGTTAAATCAAGCTCTATAGTCTCAAGGATAAATGTTTTTCTCTAGTGATCTCATTTTTTCCCCTAAAAGAGTAACAAAAATCAAACTTCTCATCAATCAGGTAAACCACGTTCGCACCAGAGACTTTGACTGCTGTTTGGTTGTGCCCCTCATCGCAGAATCTGGCAATAAGCTGGAACTGGTCATTAGCAGAAACCCACTGGCATCTCAGAAAGGAAGCTCAGAACACCCTTCAGGGAGTGGGGAGTGGAGCGACCCGAATGCTGCCTTCCTTCAGCAGAGCGGACACAGCAGCGTTAGCACGGAGACACGGGATCCTACAAATACGTTATAGCCGAAACCATTGGAGCGGGACGTTCGGTAACAAAAGACAATTATGGTGCTAAATCCATTCAAGAGTTCTCTGAGATTGAGGCTCAGATGCTGTACAGCACTGAAAAGCACAGGAGGTCAGTTGGTCTGTCTCAAGGCTTCTATTAATCCACGGTTACTTTGGAAATAGTTTCATTCTTCATTAAGCCAAGTCACTCCATTCTAAACAATCTAGGATTAGTAACAGTAAAAAATTACGTAAGGGCCTTTTTTTTCCCCAAATAAGAAACTGGGGAGATGTTTTAAATATGCTCTAAATGTTCTTCTCCCTTCAGCAGCAGCAGCAGCAGCTGTTAGAGGGAAAAACATGAGTTAACCTCTGCTAACAAACAGTAGTGTCCAGGTTACGCAGTTTTTAAAAATCATTTTATCAGGAAGGTGGTGCTGTCTGTTGGACAAGGCAGAGTGGTTCACTGCACTTGGTTTTCCTGGGAAATGGCTACATTTCTGATTTTGAAAACCTTTATTCGCTGGCGAGAAGGGTGCACTCATTAGACAAAGCAGGGTGTAGATGTTATAACAAAATGCTTGCAGGAAGCTGCAGTTTGCATTGAACATTACTCCCCACTTCAGCAAATTTGGTTAGAACATATGTTATTCCCTATGCAATGAAATATTTAATGGTATGTCTTGCAACCTGTGGGGATTTTTAAGCAGACTTTTTTAGTGGGATAAAACCTCTGAGGGGGGATTACTGGAAAGAGTGAAACTGAAAGGAGTTCAGACAAATTAGAAAGGTTTTTTTAAAAGAAAATGGCTTTTTTAAAATTCTGTCAGTGGAGATTGATACAGAAGCTCTTTAATGATCCATAAACCTGTAAAACTTGTACTGTCACACATGAGCTTTTTAAGTCAATCAGTTTCTTGAAGGAAGAAAGGTCCTATTTAATATGCTTTGTTTTCAGCCTTCTTTATGATAAACATTACCCCCTGCAACACATTTTTAGAATTTAAAATTGTAAATATATTTTACAAACACATCACACAAATTGTCTCCTCTCCCTTCTTCCCCCAAGCAATAAAAGACTGCCAGTTGCTTTATATGTTCACCAGCAGCTGCATTGGTTTATTCTGGTATTCAAGTTGTTATTGGTAATTATTGTTATTGGTGAATATAAAGATACTGGATTTGTACATTTGTAGAGTCTCCATATCTAAGCAATCACCTTACAGAGTTGTTTCTGGTCAATTTAAACTGTTTAATGTATCCCTGTTGCTGTTTCCAATACATAAACAAGCTCACCTGCCCTGCACACACAAGCATCTCTGATTTCTATTTCAGCACTGCCAGAAAAGGTCAGAATGACACTCAAGGCTGAATCATGTAAAAAAAAAAAAATTAAAAAAAAAAAAACAACAAAAACTCCAAGGTTCATGAGTCACTTAAATATGTATTTTTATTTGTAACAAATAAGTATTAAACTGTAAAGTATTTTTGTACAAATTTAATACTTTAATAGCATGATATTTATCGTCTATGTTATGTTTTTTGAAATTCAAACTGTTGCAAATATTTGTATGGAAAAACTGTATAAATTGAAATAAACAGTGATTTAAAGACATTAAAAATGAGGTAGAGTTTTTCAACTTCATATTTTTCCCAGTGTTCTAGAAAAAAATACCATTTTTATATTTGTGGCATACTTTTTCCTACCCTGAGTGAAAAGAAAAAAATGTTAAAGGTAAGCAGGTTGTCCACATTTTAATGGACATCAGATGTTTAACAATCAATTTATTAATCTTGAAATTGCAGCAAGTCCTACAGTGCACATGAGAAAGCTGAAAGCAGAATGTTATTTGAACTGTGATTTGGAGTTTTGCTTTTCTTACCATGATCATCATAGATCAGCATAGAACTATTAGCTAAAGCAGCAATGGCAAGTTCTGCATCATAGAAGAAGTTTTCTAAGTCACTGATTGCAACTTTCTTGTTATGTCTTAACAAGATTAAAATCCATTATCCATCAAAGCTCACAAAACCTACACCCCTTAGTAAACTGTTTGCTTTACTCAAGGAAACAATAGTTTTGGCACATCAGTAAGAGCGTCTCATCACTACTGTAGCATTCGGAGATGGATAAATCTTGGTATGGACAGCTAGAAGTCTTAAAATCAAAATACATCCTTGTGTATTTTTTAAGGGAACATCTGGATCCTCAAAGACCTGTAAGTTCATTCTTCAGCAAAACAGAAGAATTACATGATTTTTGATGACCAATACACCAGTGGATCTACTAAAAATGGATCACTGAAAATGTAAAAAAGAGGCACAGCATAAAACAAGCTGTTCTTCATAGAACATGCAAAAGCAAGAAAGCCCTTGAAAGGCACCTGCATATTCAGCTTCTCCATCCCAAATATCTTGAATAGGTTAGGTAAAGGTTCATACCAAAACCAATTAATAATTGTCTGTTAGCTTTTGAAAAGCTTCCTAGGAATTTGCTGACCCAAACTTAGATTCTTAAGTCTGGAAGATCCAAGTGGAGATTCTTCTGCTGTTGTCTGTCAAAACAAAACAAAAATGTTACCCAGGTTTGAAACAGACCTAAAATACTTTAGCTGCTTCAAAAAAGGCTCTTTCTTCACGAGCTCAGAAATTAGATGTAATGAAAAAAAAAAAGCATCTGTTAGCAGGTCTGACTTTATAAAAATCAATTTCAATTATTACATTTTATACACATCTCAGAGCACATCACCTAAAAACTGACATTTGTGCACAGACCATAAGCTGATAGAGGCTAAGCTGGTCAACAGATCACTCTGAGAGTAAAAACATGTATAAGTTTATTACTATTGACATTAAACCTTTTTTTCTGTATTAGCCATACATTACTCTGCAAAGACATCTGCCAAATTTGAGTGCTTCACCAATTACTGGTCAACTTGACAATTCTTAAATAAATATTAATAAAACATCGTAACAGTGCCCAGGTGACTTGCATTGGTGAAAGAGAGTGCAAAAGTTTGTTTTAAACTTTCTCAGTAAGGAGATACTCACAGAAGGTGTTTTTGTAGCATCCTCAGATGCAGGAATTTGTCTTTTACATGGACTTTGCTGCAAACTGATTGTCTGCTCTTTACTGAGAACTGATGACCTCTCCTGTATCACGAGGTCACTTTGAAGTTCAGGTGGGTCAGGAGCACTTTGAGTAAGAGAAACAGACTGAGTCTCGAGCTCTTGACTTTGCCAGCACTTCATCAGGGAAGAGGATGTTTGTTCGGGACAGCTATTGGTTTCTGCAACTGCCTCTCTCAGAAACCTCTGCAAACGTGTTTTTCTGGTTATCTCCTTGTTCTTTACTGCTTTCCTGAGGTGCAGCTCCTCAGCCACGATGTAGACCCGGCAGCGACCCCTGGTCACGGCTGTGTACACGTGCTGCCAGTGCTGCCGGCCCGCATTGCCAACCACGTACACCACGGTCCTTTCCTCGGAGCCCTGAAACATGGGAAAATGCTGGTTTTCAAAGGCTGATTTCCAGGAAATACTTAAAAAAAAAGACAAGAATGAGGAAGTTGGAGGCAACTGGGGATGCTCTCAAGAATATTTTGTATAGGGAATTCTAGTTTCAAGAACGTTTCTGATTCATTCGTGAGTGAATACAGTGTATTAGCTCACAGCTGCTGTGTTTTTACCTGGAATGTGTGAATAGTTCTGGCCCAGGCATGCTTTATGTGACACAGCTTCCTCAGTGCCTTGTAGTTCACAGTGAATGTGGAGCCGCTGTACGTGCTGCTGATGGTCAGCAAGCGCTGCTTATCAATTTCTGCATCCTAAAAGAATAACACAACACTCAGCAGTGAGCCTGGATCCACAGCTGGAGCAATGTCTGAACTTTCCTATTCTAGCTTTCCCTGAAATCACAACACCTGCAACATCGACCAACTGAAAGTTTCAGAAGACACTAAACCAAATAAATTGCTGCCTTTCACTGACTACCTTCAAGGAAAACAGTTTTCACTGTTTAAGGATTACCCTAAGTACTGGTGCTTTCACTGCTCAACTCACTGAACCCAGCAAAAAAAAACCAGTTTTTTGTTGCTGTTAACTTTTAGGCCAGCTTGGTTTTCTGCCAGGGAAAACTTTAGCTGTAGCATTACTCTTTACTTCAGACTATGTTAAACATTATCTATTTCAATTACAATACATTTGAGTATTTACAGAATGTATTTACACTGAACACAATAAGACCAACTGAAACACTGTACAAAAAAGCCCAGAATTGAGGTTTTTTGAATTCTCTATCATACTTTGTCTTTTTCATGTCTTTTGCATGATTGTTTAGCCAAACTAAGTATGTATTATGGGCTACACTTATAAAGTGTGAATTGTTTAGTTTGGGGGATTCAGCAAGCACTGAGTAATTTCCCACCAGGTTTTCTTTGTGCAAGTTCTTGCAGCAAAGACTTACCTCAGTAATGAAAAATATATCCCCATTGCAGAGTCGTTTGCCCTCCTCATCAGCCTCTGCAGTGGGTGTGGTTTCTGCACTTCCGCATTTCTGGCTATTAGGACCCTCTCTGACACCACTGGCTGCCAAGAGATCCTTGAGATACACATTGCGCGTGCTGGCAATCTTGTCCCCGTTTTGAAATAGAAGTCGGTTCTTGTGGTCTCTGGGCCACAGAAAGAAGGGGAAAATGTATTTACAAAGTGTGCATTTACCACATCTCAGTATTTTTTCTCTTTTCACTCTCTATACTTGACCCAAATTGAAAAACTTTAATAATAATCAAAATAGTTAGGGTAACACATTTATGTCTTGAGCTTTTGTAAAACCATTTGGTAGAAAACAGTAATATAGAGTAGCAAAAAAATATTTCAGAATCTATTTAAAAATCATACAGTAGCAAAAAAAAAATTAACCTTATGGGGCTTTTTGCATGTTGCTTTTATATGGATTTTGAATATTCAATAGTAACTTAAAATCTCAGAACTCACACAATGAATTTAAATGAAAAGCAGTTTACCACTGTTCAAAATGAGATTAAAGTTTATAAACCTTATAAATAATAAATAACTTTATAAATAATAAAATAAAGTTTATTTTATGAATGATTTATAACATAATCAGTTCTAGATGAAACACTGGAAGTTTTACAGCCTTATTTACAATGTTGTCCCGGCTTTCAAAACAAAAATACAACTTTCAAAACTCTCAAAACAAAAAAACTTTCAAAAACAAAATTAGATCGGTCACAAGAAAAATGCGAAACACTGACTTACCTGGTTAAATGGTTTGAATAGTGTTGGCAACAAAGTTCATTTATTAGATCACAATCTTGCCTAGATCATACAAAACAAGAACATGAACAAAATCATGATATACAAAACATACAATTACAAGCAATGTCACATTAGCATTAATTTATAAATAATGGAAAAAGCTCCTTTTCTCTCTGATGATCTTCCACCATCTATTAAGAACAATTACTTATTCAGAGTTTAGAACACAGAGCAGTAAAGGAACAGTTTTGTCTAAATACCACAGAAAGTTTTTGCACTGTACACCTAGATTAGTTAGATATGTTTTTACGATAAAGAAAACTAAAGAAAAACTAAAACCTGGAAAGATTTTTTCTGTGGATATATTAAAAATAGCAAGAAGATTTATTTGCTTTTTAAAGACCTGGAATTTTAACTTTTAAATGCAGCTTAAATACCTATAAATATATTATAGAAGAATCATACACAAAAATCACTTACAGCAGTATTGTATTAATAACAATTTAATATGTAATGATAGCAGTATTGTACTAATATACAGTATTGTACCTGAATGCAGACTGGAGAAAAAAATTGATAATCAGAGTTACTCAGCATTCACAAATCACTTATTAGCTCACTGGGAACCTGTAAATAGTAGGTGTTTTTTACTTACTGAGAAAAGGTTCTCCACAATTAAAGGTGAAGGAGCTTTTTCCTAAGTACCCCTTTGTGCAGAACTCAAGGTTATGGACTACTGGTACTAGTGCACTTTATCCCTTCCATCCCTTCAGTGTTTCTTTGAAGCCATGCATACTATTCATGCTCCTGTGATTACTAACTTCCACAATCTTTCTTCCAAGTGTCTTAGAGCCCTACATCCCACCCTTCTTATGTGATGAGTACTCCAAGTTTCCAGCAGTTTTATGCTACTGCCACTAGTCTCTCCAGCTCAACACACTCAGCTATTTTTAGATTGTGGCTGCTAGCAAGGACTTTTTCAATGTCTGCCTGCACACTCTGTTACCTTCTGAAAGCAATGAATTGTGACTGCTTGGCATCCTCCAATCCCGGCCCTTTTTTAAGTAAAAGCTTTATTGCAGTTTGTAAATCTGTTTTAAAA